GCGCGGAGGACTTGCAACTGCTCGAAGATGTTCAAGCCGAGAAAGAAAACGAGATTCTGCGCGATATCAAGGCGAACATCACCAAGCACATCAAGTGGAACGAGGGTTATGTAGATCATACCCGAGCGCCACTTTCCCCCCCTCCGGAAAGGACATTCGATGCAGCAGCGTTCCGACCAGCTTTCACCGCACAACTACCCACCCCGCCATCATCAGAGTCATCTGGCGAGATTGACACAATTGATGCCGCCAGTCCACTCTTCTCTCGAGATAAACTTGCCTCCCGGGCGATGGAGATGCACGATGAGCCGCATCGGATGCCGTCATTCCGTAGACGTGTCGGACGAGGTGGTCGGCTGATGATTGACCGCCGTAACTTCGCAGCGCGCTGTAAGCTTGAGATGGATCCCGTCAAGGCCGACCGATTCAAGTTCGACCAAGAAGACTCCGATGAGGAGCCTGTCCATGAGATAGACGGGTATAGCATCCAAATTATGCAGCACCGAGCCATCACCATGGCAAAGGCTCGTGAACAGGCCGCAGTGGCTGCTCAAGCTCATGCGCAGGCGCAAGCTCAGGCAGTCCAGGCCCAGGCCCAGCAACGACGACTGCAAGGCGATCAACCTGGGAACCCGGGAGCACCTCCTGCACCTAGCGTTGCGGCCGCATCGTCAGAGGCCTGAATATCCACCGACCCCTTTTCTTGTTTTTGTTTTGCAGCATTTGGCGGGCGTTTTGAGTTGCTTGTTTCCCCTTCGTCACCGCCTCTCCCACTTCCTCCTTCTCACATCTGTAGTTTTAGTACCCTTTTTCATGTTTTGACGATTCCGCTGGCGGCGAAGGGATTTGATGGAGCCCGGCCTTATGCTTTCTGCCCTTTCTGTTTCTCCCGCACCCTCCACCTACCTTTTTCAACATTCCTCTGAATGTTTCGATGTCGATTTGCGGATTTCGTTATGATATCCGACGTGAATCGGCGACGCTGCATTTATTAGTGTACATAATATCTTTTCTTGAAAACCTGGGGGAGCGTGCGCGGCCGGTGACCGGCCTGTTTGTATGATGGACGACTCGAAGTTATGATGCCTGCATTTCTGGGAAAGGGAAGAAAGGCCGGAAAAAAAAAAAGAAAAACAGACATCGAAAATCTAACACAATATAATCATTCGCGGAAAACGCTGTCGCCATTTGCTTTTGTAGGGAGCATCAAGTCGGTGGTGAGATTTCCACAAGATACTCATTGGATAGTAGCAGGCCATAAGGGTTGTTTGAATCACACACGCTGCTTGGTGTTTCGGGATCCACGACCATCGCCGTTGGCTGACCGTTTCTGGGATGCACCTGGTGCAAGAGCTTCGAGCATTGACAGGACGGCACGGAGAACCTCCTTCTCGCCGATGCGGACCTGCAAAGCCATCTTGTGTCGGCGAGCAGAGCCCTCCAGGGCTGCGGGCGCACTGGGTGGCAAAAGTCCGGAAAGAATGTTGAGATCCTGGTCGAGAGAAGTGGCATAATGCGCCTGCTTAGCCTGTAGCACTTTGTAAAGAAGACCGGCTTGGGCGACATCCATTGATGGCTTGGGCGGCTTATTTTTCGCTCGGCGTTGCTCAAATTCTTCTGGTGACTGGGTGAGTGTGGTGAGCAAAACAACCAGCTCGGCGGGAAGGATATCCTCAAGCTTAGCGTTAGCAAGTGGCTTGGGGATCACATAGCCGTCTTCCAGAACATCATTCTCTTCAAGAAGTTGGAGCTATTTAGAGAGTTAGTCAGACTGTTTTATTGCTTCGTGCAAGAAAGTCATGCCACATCTGCATGTGGTACATGGCGTGACCTACCCTGGGCTGGGATTCCACGTCGCTGCTTGAAAGTCCAGCGGATTGACAGACGTCACCTAAAGTTAACTCGACAACATCGTACACGGAGTAGTTGTCGGTGACATAGCCATAGCGGCGGAGCAGATCAGCACGGGGGATTTCGCCATAATCGTTGAAGATTTCTTCGCCTTCTTGAATAGGCTTGATGGCCTTCATAACCAAAGCTTCCTCTTCTTGAAAGAGACGAGCCTTCAAACAGTAAGTATAAATGTGTAGCTTGATGAAGATGGAATATTGCCAACACTCACATTATTCCGATCCGCATCCGCATTAAGCAAATCAGCAAGCGGAACCATACCCTTAGGATACTGTTCGTCCTCATCATCACTCATAAAGCTCTCGTCACCGCCGTCGCCCTCCTCATCCTCATCGTCTTCACCGTTTTCGATGTCAAAAGCATAAGCCATAATCAAGGACCCCATGATATGAGCCAGCTCCAGCAAAGCAGCAGTGCCAGCATCGCCCTCGTAAGATGTAAGACCATTGATCGGCGGGAACAAGGCTGGGTTCGATCTGACAATGGGCGCAATTGATTGGAGTATAGAGTCGTCTGCACTCTGCTTGCCAATCTTGTCCACGATGGCACTGCCTTGTAGCTCCGCCAGCTCTGCCTCCGACCAGAACATCAGTGTATCGAAACGAGAAGGCAAGACACGGAAGTAAGGTGCCCATTTCGATTGTTCACCACGCAGGTACTCATAAAGCATGACTAACATCAAAGACAGCCACGGACCGAGCACCTCGACATCTTGTGGTAGCAGACTCTTCAGATCCGAATTTTGGACGGCGAGGATAAGGGAACGGGGAATGGAAAATAGTTCTTCGCCTTCGGCAATATTTGCTCGAGCAACTGTGCATATGCAAATGATCTCAAGTTAGAAAATTTATCCTTTCATAGATCTCTTTCGGGTGCCCAGGGTGCGGATTTTGTGTGGTGGGTGGCGGGGGCTTTGCAGTAAGCTTACCAACTCCTCGTCCTGCTCCTGAAGATCTCAAGTCTGCCAAAAGAATCTTTTGATTGGCCTTCACGCCAGGATTAGATTCAAGCCAAGAAATAAATTCATTGGACTGTTGCTGGAAGCTCGAGGGGTCGGAGAAGTGGGTTGAGGAAGACATTGTAAGTAATGGGATGTGGCAAGAGAGAAAAGGAGAACCAAGTCTAGCGTGGAAAAGAATTGGAAACAGATTCACATATAAGTGCCAGCCCACCAAAGTGAAGTGCAAAGACTGAACAAGAAAAGGGGTCAAAAATCCAGGGAAGAAAAGAAAAAGAAGTAGATGGGGTTGTAGTTTAGTTTCGGAGAAATGGGAACCGCCAAGGTTGGTTCGGTTTGGTTGGTTTGATACCCGATAACGATAACGAAAATCAACCCACTCTTTTCACTGAACGTCAAGGTTCCTCGGATTCACCAGGTATAATTCGAGTCAATCGGCTCTAAATCCAGCATCATGATTGCTATCGGTATGGAGGGCTCAGCCAACAAGATTGCCATCGGCATCATGTCGCATCCCGAGGATGGCAATCCACCGCAGATCCTCTCAAATGTTCGACACACCTATAATTCCCCTCCTGGTGAGGGTTTCTTGCCCAAGGATGTTGCGCGCCATCACCGGACCTGGGTTGTGAAAATGGTGAAAGATGCGATGAAAGAGGCACGTCTTAAAGTTGAAGATGTGGACTGCATCTGCTTCACCAAAGGTCCTGGCATGGGTGCCCCACTACAGAGCGCGGTGATGGCAGCACGAATGATGAGTCTGCTTTGGAACAAGCCATTGGTGGGAGTAAACCATTGTGTTGGACGTAAGTGTGAAATTGATAGATAAACTCTGATCTCTAGTCTCATCGCAAGCCTTCTTTATAGCATTATGGTAGCTGACATACAATCCCGCATATCCAGATATCGAAATGGGCCGCCTCATTACCGGTGCCGAAAACCCCGTTGTCCTTTATGTTTCTGGTGGCAACACACAGGTGATTGCATACAGTGCGAAGCGGTACCGCATCTTCGGCGAGACCCTTGATATTGCCGTCGGGAACTGCCTAGACCGTTTCGCGCGCACACTATTCATCCCAAATGATCCATTTCCAGGATACAACATTGAGCAGCTAGCCAAGAAAGGGAAACGATTTGTGGAGCTCCCATACATTGTGAAGGGTATGGACTGTTCGTTTTCGGGTATTCTGGCTGCAGTCGACGCTCTGGCCGTGTCTCTTGGTTTAAGCGGCGAGGAGCAGGCAAGACTCGACGATGAGAGAATTGAAAAAGAGCAAGGTGACCAAGAACAAGACCCTGATGCGAAGCCAACTCGTGCCGACCTGTGCTTCTCGCTTCAGGAGACGGTTTATGCGATGCTAGTTGAGATTACCGAGCGCGCAATGGCGCATGTGGGGTCCAAGCAGGTCCTCATTGTTGGTGGAGTAGGATCCAATGAGCGGCTGCAAGAAATGATGGGTATCATGGCGCGAGATCGAGGTGGATCTGTTTTTGCTACGGACGAACGTTATTGCATTGATAATGGTGTCATGATTGCCCAAGCGGGTTTGGAGGCATTTAAGACAGGTTTCCGGACACCGCTGAAGGAATCTACCTGCACACAGCGGTTCCGGACAGATGAAGTGTTCGTGGATTGGCGAGACTGAAATACCCATCTTCAAAATAATGAAAGGAATATGTTTTACGAATTAAATAGGTCTAGAGTCCCTACTTCGAATTTGCGCACATGTCAAGGATTCATCTTGAATCAAATGGTGTATTCAAAACTAAATAACAGTGAAATAAAGGTGTATAACCAGACAACTAACGGCGCGCCTGCGCGGTCAAGAAATAATCGGGTCTGCATGACTACAATATCAACTCCAGCACATACCTATCGTGAAGCAACGCCTTCGAATAGAAAATCATGCAATATGAGTAATGTCTGTCCTTTGCGTTGGCTTTCAAACAGTTTTTAGAATATTTGATCAATGTTGTATGCATCCCTGGCACAAGATGTTCATTGCAACCAAAAGGGCAATAGCCCTCGTGGCTGGGCAATGAATGAATGTATGGTGAAATATGTGGCGCTTTCTTAGAGATTTCGGACCGTACTCCGAGGCAAAATTGCAAGTATTTGCTGGGACATGAATCACTCCCCAGTAATGTCGCCGGTAGGTTTGTACAAAATACTTGTCACATACTGCATCGACATCAGAAAAAGAATTCCAAGGGTGCCTTCCAAAGAACATCTTACCTTGCGCTTGTATCTAGTTGTGACACTAGTGGCAAGAACACCATTCTTGATACTACTAGTGGCCAGATGATTCAAAACAGTGTGGTTGGGGTAATTAAGAACACTGCTATCATCCTTTGTAGGAGTGAGGGTGTTGAGAATCGATTTACCCAAGAACAATGGAAGACTGGGCGGAGTTGGGGTGTCACCAATGACGTTAGCAGCTTGCAGATATGCAGGGCTGTCTTCTTCCTTGTCCAGATCAGCAAGAAATTGGGGAATTGCACTGCCGAAGTCTCCCGCAGGAACCTCCTCAGCTTCCCCGTTCTTCGGAGGATCGTCTTCCGCATCTTCTGATGGTCGGTCCTTGGCATTATCCTGTGGTGTTTGTGATGGCCGGACTCCGGACGAAATAGATGAGTTGTCGTTAGCATCATCCGCACTAATCTCGATATAGTTCACCAAGTGGTTAGTGAAGTCGACAGCCGTCGGAAGATCATCTGAAGCTCGCATTTCACCGTCGATAAGGAACTTCAGATGATGCGTGCCGGGCCGGAGGTTCAATGTTGCGGTCATGACTTTAGCATTGGTCTCGCTGTTTGATATTAGCCCATGTCCTCGATCATTAAATTCTGAGTGTATATAGACGGACGAATCGCCCTACCTTCTGTGTAACTTGAATTTCTTCTCCCAGTTGACAAAGGTACCAGTAACATAGACCTTCTCACCAGGTCCGTTCCACTCAATTACCGTGGGCACCGCCTTGCCGACACCAAATGGCCGCAGCTCGTCCACCATCTCATCACCATCCAAGGTAGCATTGCTATAATGGGATGCCTCCATATGTTCGTCTAACAGTCTGTCTGCAGGCATCGACTGAATATGAGAATCCTCAGGTCCGATGACCGGTGATCCAGGTGTAGTGGTAGCATCGGCAATAGGCAATGGCATACGCGGGGGTCTTTGCAGGTGGGTCGAGGCACTATAGTAGGAGTTGAGCGGCGGGGCTGAAGGTGCAACAGGGTCTCGCCCCGCGGCATGGCGCGATATTGGCACCTGTACCGGATTAGAGTGGTCTGGCGAGGCGACATCTCTGCTCTGCGGTGGCTCAATCCTCCTTTCAACGGGCTTTTCGGGTCTGGTTATAGGCTTTGGAGTTCCGGGCGGCGGGTTTCGGGATTGGAGCCGATGTTGAACGGAGCCTTGGTATGCTGCGGAGTGACCGGCGGCATTCTCTCGAGACGCTGATGGGTCGGCCGCGGTAGCCTTGGTGGTTGGGATTGTGTTTTGTGATGTGCGACGAACAACCTTTCGCTCAGCGGCGGCATGGGGGATATGGCCCGATGGCGCATCGCCGACGGGGCCTTTAGAAGGATTGTTGCCCATCGAAGGCGGGGTAGGGGCAAGACGGAGACGGGTAAGAGAATCGGGTGGAAGGGAAGTGGAGTGGCGGGGGAGAGAAGTGTGATGAAGAACTTGATCAGGCCGACAGCATCCAGGCGTTACCCTTGGAGTGTTGATAAATGCCGAGGGATCTAGACAGCTCCGTCTTTCAATGTCGGTCAAGCTGATGACGCCGGATATCGAATCGGGCTAGGGCTTAGGGCTTGCGGCAATAACTCGGCTTCCCCGGATTTCCCCTTTTAACCTTACTCAACCTAACCATATCTTGATCTACATGATGGATAACCCGGTCGTGGGTGGCCTTCTGCTTATTCTTGGTGCAATTTACGGTTTCCTACTCAACCTCTTGTCTTGGTTATTCGCGCTTCTTTACTTGCTGGTGAGCCCCTTGCTCTACCTTTTGCATGGCCTCCTCAAAGTAGCTTTATTCCCACTCCAAATCTTGATCAAATTTGAGGTATGTAATACGCACCCTCACACGTTTCCTTTTCACTATCTCCTTCGGTTCCTTTGAGTCTCACGTAGATTAGGCATTTCTATATTTTGTGACAGGAGCGGTGATTACAGGAGTCACTGTGGGCCTGTTCCTACACTTTACTGGAGATGCTTTGTCCGAGCTCCTTCGGCTACAGTCGAGCCCGTCTCCATCACCAAAGGATGAACCAGCTCTGAAGACAGAGCCCATAGATTGGCAGTCAAAATGGGATCATCAACTATTGTCTTCAACGATCCCAGAAGAGGAAGAGAATAGCTCGGCGTGACATTACGGTATCTAATTTGGACATAATTCATCGTCCGAATGATTCAACAAACTGTATCACACATAATTCATAATTCAATTCGGGAACCTGGCATCCATGCTCTCCAGGAATGTCTCCTCCAAAGCATTATTAGCAGATTTCCAGTCAACTTGCTTAGTATCCTGGTCTGTGGTCACTACGTCATGCAATCCCATTAAGTCAAAGCGTGTCTTCTTCTTCTTCTTCTTCTTCTTCTTCTTCTTCTTCTGCTTGATCACCCCGAAGTCTCAGCTCCACAAACTCGGTATTCACAAATGCACAGAAAACACCCCCATGAGCAATATCAACTTTCACATCCTTAAAGCCAGGCTCCAATATAAAGGAAGGCACGCTATAAATAGCCACAGAATCATACCTATATCGCTGACCAAGAGTCCTGGTGAAACTAGACTCAGCCGTGACTTTCCCAGCTCCAGTCTCAAAAACACATCTATGAAACGGCACCTGTGGTACCGGCCCACCAGCATGCGAAAGCTTAGCTATCACGTTGATGGCACATATAGCATCCGACACAGAGAAGAGAATGTATGCGTCATTCTTCACCATAATCAGACTGCGTGTCGAATCATGGACAATGGGCTTGAGGTCCACTTCGATGTCCATGGTCGTAATAGTATCGATTCCGAGAGCTGGGCATGAGTCCTGTACACGGTGTAAAAGTAGAATGGATGGGGTACTTTCAAGGTTGGGGACCGAAAAGATAAAGACCAACGTATCCATACGTCTGGTCCAGATTTATATACTGAGTTACTAATTCGAAAATTAGCACCACTACAGGGTTTTGTTCTTTCTACGTAGGTAGATATAGAATTATTTACAAGAGCAGGCCTGGCGGTATTCTTTCAACCCCTTTAAATTCGGGATTATAGGTAGGAAATGTATAGGAGAAAGAACTTGAGGACCAAATCGCAACACATTACAGTATATCGGATATAAAGCCAAACTTGGAGATATAAATGAAAGACAGAAAACAAAGACTATGTGTAAAGCTCTCTCAAGGCGCACCAGAAGACTAGAATAAAATAACTCCAAATTGTAGAAAGAACCCATGAACTACAGAGCTATGTTCACTATCGTCTTTCTTTTGGGGTCAGGACCCTTTTTGAAGGCGCGAAGATGTATATGACCATCGATATGAAATTCCTCATTCAAAGTCACATTCTTCCCAGACCAGTGGAATTGGTTAGCTATATAGGACCAAGACCGAGTACCTGAAGAACCGAGCTGCTATCCCTGTAGTCCAGGAAAGCTAGGTTGAGTGACTAGGGTCCAGGTACTAGATCCACGTGCCGTGGCCCTGCTTAGACAATCACGGTGTACATTTAAGAATACCTGCTTACATGGTCCGTGCACCAATGGCACCGGTGTTTCATTTGTTAGACCCTGCAAACCTTACCAATCTCCCAAGAATGCTCCCTTCGAACACATTTCTTTTAACATCCTCCATTCCATGTCGAGGTGTCCAATTCACTCTTCATCTTGTTGGTTCAGCCCGAGGTAGAAGATCAGATCGATCTCACCTGTCAAACAACTAGCGTTAGACCCACCGGCCTATCTTTGGCTCCAGCGGGGGACCCAGCGGAGGACCATCAGTTGTTGTGAGGTCGCAGCAGCACGCTCACCATGGGCGTCCCTCGAGGCTTTTTCCGTGCACGCATGCTGCTCGGCGCCCTGATCATTGCCTCATTTCTCATCTGGAATCACTCGCAATGGACCCTTAGCGCTAGCCGCTCCGCCTCCGATTACAGCCTCGGCAGCTCCACACAGGCCCCTCCAGACTTGACAGCAGGGCACCAAAGATTTTGGAGGACCTTTCATGGATACTTGGAGAAATACGGGCCAGATGTCAATGCCGTTGTTGAAGATGAGAAGGCCCCGACCGAGGGCTTCAAAGTGAAGGATGCAGCGCCGCGCCCGGACTACGTGAAGGTTGCTTCAGAGGATGTCACAACAATGAAGGAGGCGCATACTGGATTTGTGGCAGCGATCGCAAGCTCACCACCCCAGCTACAGTATATCCCAGGGACTAGGGGTCTGGTATCAACCGCTGGCGGTTCTTACCTGCCGGTCTTGGTCATCTCACTACGCATGCTTCGCCGAACAGGATCGACATTACCAATGGAGGTCTTCTTAGCAGACGAAAATGAGTACGAAGACTACATTTGTGATACAGTCTTGCCATCGCTGAATGCGCGATGCATTGTGCTATCCCGAATTCTGGTAGCAGCACCCGCAAAGATCGAAAAATATCAGTTCAAGCCTTTTGCGATGCTTTTCTCCTCGTTCGAGGAGATCCTGTTCCTGGATGCAGATGCATTCCCTCTTGAGCAGCCTGAAGCTTTGTTCAAGGGTGAGCCCTTCCGCACTAAGAACATGGTCACCTGGCCCGACTTCTGGGCATCCTCGGCTTCGCCTCTGTTCTATGAGATTACCGGTACACCCGTTCCCGACATGAACCTGCGCCAATCTACAGAGTCTGGCGAAGTTCTCATTTCCAAGAAAACCCACATGCGTACACTTTTGCTTTGCACATACTATAACTATTGGGGTCCCTCACACTACTATCCGCTCCTGTCGCAAGGAGCGGCCGGCGAGGGTGACAAGGAAACATTTGTTGCAGCTGCGACTGCAATGAACGAGCCGTTTTATCAGGTTAGCGAGTCTCTCTGTGCGCTCGGCCATAGGAAGGAAGGAGGTATGGCAGGCTCTGCGATGGCTCAGTTCAATCCCATGCAGGATTATGCGCTTACAAGCAGAGGGACTTGGCGCGTTCGCGGAGATGACGCACCCGCCCCAGATGTCTTTTTCATTCACGCCAACTTCCCCAAATTCAACCCAGCCACAGTCTTTGAAAAGCATGAGGTCAACCCTGCATTCCTTGACGACGGTACTTACACCCGTGCCTGGACGATACCTGAAGATGTTGTCGGTCGATTCAGTGCCAAAGTCGATATCGAGAAAGCTTTCTGGCGGGAGATTCTCTGGACGGCTTGCGAGCTTGAACACAAGTTTGTCTCATGGGATAATTACAGAGGCATCTGCGCTGGTGTTAAAGATTACTGGCACAATGTTTATGAGTCTAATGGACTTCCAACATGAAGATGAGAATTTGATCTCTGACTACTTCTCGGCTTTCGCTGGGTACTGGCGACTTATTCATTGAGGCTCCATTGGCGGAAAGGGTTAACCAGGGCTATGGTTGACACCGGCTGGGGAATTCATGATATCGCCTGTGGCTCTGTGTGCATCCTTTGCAGCCAGTCCGCTATGCCCATGGGTGGATGATCTTCGGATAATCACAGCGATATCCCCCGCTTCGCATTTATACCTATCTTGACCAATCTTCCAGCTGGTCTGGATGTGAGCTATGTCCTGGAAAGGATTCATTCATGGGCTTGACAAATCTATGCGTTCAGCAGCTTCCCCCAATCTTTGTACAATACTATATTCGTTAATTGAGTGTATGCAACGAAGAAATTGTTGTATCGGTAGGCAAAGTGTACTCAATTACAGTCAAAAATTCCGTTGTAGAAGAGAGGTGTTCCAATCATTGAAAGCCATGCCACCACATTGGACGCTAATATTGTACAAAATTCTTTCTATGTTACATAAAATACAGGTCCGTAACTCAAAGAACCCTTCTATAATGCGAATGGACTTGGCAAGGATCAGGTCGACTTCTGCTCACCCACCGGTAAACCCTTCAGCTCCGCATTACGGATAGCCTCAGCAAACAATTCTTTGCAAGGAACACGGCTACCCAGCCGGGCGCAAAGCAAGAAAGCACCACTCAGCTTACGGTGCAAGCTGTACGTCTCCTCGGGAGGAGGAGCGAGACGTTCACGAATCATCACAGGAATAAGCGCCCGAATGCGATCAGTGATAGTCTGATTCTGGAAATCATAGAGATCAGGCGAGGAGAGCATGAACGGCTCAGCAATGGTAACAATCGACGAGACGTGAGCGTCAACCATAGCCTGGGACTCGAGGCCAGTGAGGTAGCCGAGTTCAACAGAGAGATCGTGGCACGCTTTACGGTCATTGCTAGCAGCCGCGACGAGGGTGCGTACGTAAGTGGTGATGAATTCCTTGGGATACGCGCGCGAGGCACCAAAATCAAGGAGCTCGAGACGGTTTGTGCGAGCGTTGTAGAGGAAGTTAGTCCAGTTGGGATCTGTTTGCATATAATGGAATTCGGTGATCTCGCGCAGACACAGACGCATGATCTGGGTACCGATCCAGTCGCGTTGGTCTTGAGTAAAGTCTTGGATTTTGGTTACAGCGACTCCTTCGAGCATTTCCATGGTCAGTACCTGTTTGCCCGAGGCTTCGGGCATGACTTCTGGTACCACGAAGACGGGGTCTCCACGGAGGAGTTCGCGGAAGCGGACGCTACACTCAGCTTCGCGGATGTAGTCGCATTCCCAGCCGAGTTCGACACGGGCGTTGGCGATGGTCTTGTCGAGGTAGAGGCCTCGAGGAAGGAGCCGGGAAGCAGTCAGAAGGATGGACAGGTTGTTCAGATCGGAATCGATTGAGTCTGCCACGCCGGGGTATTGAACCTTCACTGCGACAGGCTTGCCTGTTCGCTTAAGGACAGCGGAATGGACCTGGCCGATAGAAGCTGCGGCCATAGGAACCTCGTCGAAGGAGGAAAAAAGATCCCGCCAGTCAGGACCGAGATTATCAGCAAGCACTTTATCACGCTGCGAAGCAGGCATGTAATCGGCGCGATCTTGCACCCGCTGCAGGACTAGCTGGATTTGCGGTGGCAGCATGTTTGAATCTTGAATGCTTAGCATTTGACCTAGCTTGAGAGCGGCGCCTCGCATTTTTGACAGCTTTGCCACCATCCGTTCCATATTCGCAGCGCTGAACATGATAGAGCCACTCTCTTGGCTGCCAGTCGCTCGGCGAACCGTTTCACTAACGGCACCAAAGGCCATTGAAGTTGCCAATCCTCCATACTGCCACAGTCTACCAATTCGGGAAGACGGAACGCGTGATTCCATCATCTGGTAGGGCACGGTCTTGTCCTCGGCCACTACCTCCGCTACTGGCGCGACAACATCCTCGGCGATGCTGGCAGCTAGCTTCTGAGCTTCCTCTTGCTCAGTCTTCGCTGGGACCTGGGATTCTGCGGCCAATGGCGCGCCTGGCGGAGTAGACCGAGCATACTTCTCTGCAAGCCAGTCTCTCTTCATTCTGGGTTTTCCTGCAAGCAAACGAGACACCCGTGGGCTTTGGAAAATATCCTGCATCATCTCCTCTGGAATCTCCTCCTGTGTCTCCGGGGAAGCTTTGGTTTCCGGCCCAGTAGCCGCGTGAAACACGTCGGCATTCAACCCATCGCTTCCACCAGCTTGAACATCCGCAGCAGCCTGTGGTATTGTCACGTGCGGCTGTGCAGATGTGTCTGGCGCAGTCTGCCGCGAGGGTTTGTAGAAGACATCCTGCTGCTGGCTGGTATTTAAGTCGGCAGGCTTCTCAGTGCCGGTATATTGCGCTGTCGCAGAGGGAATCTGCGACTCCACGTGATGTTCCTGAACGCGGGCGTTGTCCGATGTGGGGGATGCGGCTGTTTTTTCCGCAGCTTTCGGGGAGGTAGGAGCAGCGTCGGCCGATGGGTCGGCGGAGACGGTGGTCGGCGACGGGGAGGTTGGGGGAGGTGGCGAGGGATCATTGAACCGTCGCGCGAGGGCGGCAGCGGCTTGTGCGGTCAGGATCAGCCCTTCTGTCTGTTCCTTGATGCCCTTCGTGAGGGAGGAAGTCCGCGTGTAGACATCGAGCTGATGTTGGCGAATGGCCAGATGTTTTCCGGCTACAGTTTTCGAGACATTGAGTAATTGAATGACATCCAGCAAGCGCCGGCCAGACATGATGTCTTCAATTATTCCAATGGTGTGGTGTGGTGGGTTAGTAAAGCATCGGGTAGATCGGGGCGGAGCGGGATGGCCGAGTAATGAGAAATGTAATAAAAATGAATAACGGGTACAGTCATTGCAATTGATAGAGAATCTGCCGGGAGTGCGGTCTTCTCCGATCCCCACTTTAATTTGCCCTTATATCCCCGAATCGCGCTCATGCGACCTCTTTCTTCTTTTCTTCCATACTTCTACCCCACATAATACTCACCATGCTTGCCGAGACAAACCTTCAGGGCCTGGAGTTGGAAATCTCCCAACTCGAGGCTCGTCTGCACGACTTGCGCTCACAGCTCGATGCGACTACCTACCCTTCCCCACCATCCTCCCACGCAGACACTAAGACACAATGGACAATTCCATCAGGTGAGCTTGCTCGTCAGTCAAGATAAAATTCATAAAGAATTATAAATCTAACAATCATACAAAAGACCTATATAATAATAAATTCCAATCGGAATCCGTCCAAACATCATCCCTCCACGCACTTCTCCTCCTCTCCGACTCCGCCCTCCCATTGGGCTCATTCGCATACTCCAGCGGGCTGGAGTCCTACCTCGCACATAACAAGCCTCTCCGCACAAACCCATCAGCCTCATTCCACCGCTTCCTCAAACTCTCCATCGCCTCCATCGCCAGCACATCCCTCCCATATGTCCTCGCCGGGTATCGCCACCCGGAAACCATAGAGACCCTCGATAATGACCTTGATGCCTCAACCCCCTGCATTGTAGCGCAGCGCGCCAGTGTAGCACAGGGACGCGCTTTGATCGGCGTGTGGGAGCGCGCCTTCCGGGGCAGCTTCGCCGCTCCCACTCGGAGCACCGATACCGGCGCGCAGGTCGCGGTGACGTCGATTGATGAATTCTCCGATGCGTTGAAATCCGCACTCGGAGAGGTCGATGAATACGATATGGGACCTAAGGGTCATTTCGCTCCGCTCTGGGGTGTCGTTTGCCGTGCTATGGGACTGGATCTGCAGCAAACCGCTTATATCTATATCTTGAACCATGCCAAGGCGGTTTTGAGTGCCGCTGTGCGGGCATCCGTGATGGGACCCTATCAGGCGCAGAATATTCTGGCGAGCCAGAGCTTGCAGGATACAATGATGGCTCGCATCAAGCGGGAGTGGAATACGCAAGTCGAAGAGGCTGGGCAAGTGGTACCGGCACTGGATTTGTGGGTCGGTAGACACGAGCTTCTATATAGTCGGATCTTCAACTCATAAAGGGCATCCCGAATATATATAATATTATAGACTGTACACTTGTACCTTTCTTATTCTGTCTCCTGAACGTATTTTCACATTTCATCTGCTCGGAACATAGTCTTACATGACATGAGATAGTCTAGAGGACAAAGCCGAGGGAAAATCACAATTGCGCCTCGAAACCAGGGTATCCAAGGGCGCACGATCGTTCGCTCAGCGCCCCGCATTCAGAAGAAAGTAAAACAAGACAAATACACTGAGACATTCGAAGGCCTTCGCATGAAAGGGAGAAACAAAACTGCCCCTAAGGACGTCACATAAGTTCGTCAAACGCCCCCTAACCTGACCGAATAAACCAGCCACCCAACACCGCACCATGGACCTGTCCGAGAGTGACCAATAAAAATGAATAGGTGGAAAGGGGCAACAAGAAAAGAAAAAGAAAGGGCTATTGTACATGAAGAAAGCTTTGATATCAAGCCGAGGGTCACATCACATAGTAACGTGCATATAGTCGTTGCTTCCGAAGGATTTGTTGCAGTTGGGACACTTTCGAGAACGAGAGGACACTCGCTCTTCTACACACTCGTTGCAGAAGACATGACCACAGGTCTTGATCGCGGTGTTCTTGAAGTTGCGGCGGCAGACCGTGCACAGGGCAAGTGCCTAAGTGAATTAAGGTTAGTGAGTGGGACCAAAAGGCATTGCTATTCAATGAACTTACCCGCAACATTTCATATTCGGATTCATTATTGCCCAGAGTCTTACCCTTCCAGCCCTCGAGGCTCTTCTTGGTATCTGCAAGACTCTGCTTCAGGCTGACTATTTCCGTTTCTGCTTTTCGCAAAGCAGAAGAAGTGGTTCCCAAAGTCGAATCCTTCGAGGTTGAAAGGGCTTTAAGTTCTGAAATCTGGCGTTTCAATCCCTCGATCACAATAACGCTCTCCGTCAATTGTTGCTGAGTAGATCGGTGCTTCTCTTGGGTAGAATTCAGGGCTTCCTTGGTCTCGCTGGCTTGCTTTTCCATGTTGGAAAGCAAAGATCGAGTAGTAGCTTCCGAATCCTTCAGCTGCGCCACAATATCCGAGGTCTTCGAGTTCTGTACTCGAAGTGTGCGGACTTCGATTTCACGAGCTTCCTTGCTCTTCATCGCTGCAAAGTACTTCTGATCTGCCTTGGACTTCTCTGCTGTCAATCGTGAAACCTTCTCTTCCAGAGCACCAAAATCGATAACTTTCTGAGAAGCCAGGGTAGAGAACTTCTTGTATGCCATCTGCATCGAGCTCAGCTCGGTGTTAAGCATGGAATACTGGCGCTCCAGGCTAGTGTATTTGGCTCGGAGAACTTCGAATGACATGTCCTCCACGCTCTCGGATGCCTTTGACCCCTCGACCTGTAACCGCAGTCTCTCTGTCTCTGATTCCAAAGCAGTAATCCGAGCCTCCCGAGCATCTGCAAGCTCCTGTAACTTGGAACTGGTCGTTTTTTCTTGATCTTGGCTAGCCTTTCGCATCTGCAAGTCGGCCAAAATCTCATCACGAACGTTACGTATCCGGGCAAGGTCAGTTTCTGCCCGTACTAATTGATTGTCCTTCTCGGCCATTGTGCTGCGCGCCTCGTCCTCAACTTGTGTTTTGTATGAGGTCCTTTCCGAACGTAGCTTCTCGGCCTCCTCGCGTAATTGTATATTCGTCGCTTCTAGGTGATTTATGCGTTTCACCACATCGTCATATTGGGAGCGAAGTTGTTTAAAAAGATCGGTTTGCGCATAATCGTCGTCGGTCAACTTGGAATACTGCACAATCATAGGTTAGTAATCCATACACAAAAAGTTGTTCATTGACAAGAAATCACCTTTGTCTTGACCTCAGTGATCTGAGTAAGCAAATTTGCATTCTCAGTCTCCAACTTCTGCAACTGTTCCTTCTGCTTTTCAGACACGACTGTAAGTTGATTATTGGATTCCTCTAGCTCAACACTTCGGTCTCCAGCAGGGGTTCCACCATTAGCAGGAGATGACTCCTCGCGCTTTGCTTGCGCACCATCGGAGCCAGGTCGTTGACTACCCATAATGTATCCCTTTTCGAGCTTGGCCGCAGTTAAACTCCTCGCACGGTCCAGTTTCTTTTCAGCCATCATGTATCGGAGTGAGGCCGTTTCCAGGCTCTCTTCAAGTTGCTGCTTGTCAGCCAAGGTCTTCTCATAATCGGCGATTAAAGTTTTCTCCTCTGCGAGCTTCTTGGCCAATTGGCTTTGGAGATCTGCGACATCTGGAGAGACCTTGGCCACCGTCGATTGGAACTGTTTAATAATTTCGCGAATGTCATCGGAGCGGGACTTCAAGTGAGTCTCAAAAGCGTCATTATCTTCGAACTGCAGAGAACTTTTGAATGCGTGGTCTGCCAGGAGTGTCAGCCATTGGTTCCGAAGGTCAGGAGGAGGGTGTGGAGTGTAGGGGGTGAGACTGACCCTTGACTGAATCATTTGAAGGTCCGATGAGCACTTTAATTTCATCGAGAAACTAATACCACGTTAGGCCTTCTATGTTCCAGGGGTGGGGCGAAGACTGAAAAGACCAGTCACGATTGTGCTTACCTGACGAAACCAGGAGTCGATGATACGGAGGCGATCATTATGGTCTGCAGCTGCTTTTGACATTTGGCTCACTCGCGACTCTAAAGAAGACTTCTCCCGTTTGTATTCTTGCATCTGACGCAAAATCGCATCTTTTTGAAATCGCTATGAGTAGGAGCTGTCAGTGACACATCCCAGGTGTATGCGCGTGAAACGCAGTACGCGAAACGCAATACGATTCAAACTAGACCAGCAAGTATTACATACCTCCAAGTCGTCTTTCCAGGGCATATCAGCATCGGGGTGAGGCTTGCTCCCACCATTAACAGCGGTGGCCTGCTTCTTTGATGGCGGGGCTGAGTCATTGCTGTCCGCAGCGGGTCGCTTCCGGTCGTCCATCTTGACAAGACCGGATTCAGTAGACACAATAGGGGGTTCGGCGGCCGGCATCAGTGGCTAAACGGGCATATGAGGGGGGTTTCAATCACCACCGAACCTCACTCGGCCAGAGTTAGACACCGTGACCGAGCCCAAGATCTGGCTGATGCAATTCCCAGCGTGACGAGAGCCAGGTGGAGTCAATTAGGGAGGGAGAGATAGGTTGATAGGGGTGTGTTTCTGAAGGGGGTAGGGGCGTAATGGGATTAAATTGTCGAAAAGCATGCTAGGTGAAGGGATCAAATGGCTTATGTAATATTGACACTTGACCGCTCTGGACCCACCCAATCACCGTGGAATATTGAGCTGTAACTTTAGTATTATGAGTCTGAAATATTTCACCTAGACCGGGCCATCTGTGGCCTGGACGGGTGTCCCATTATCATTACCGTACGAGAGTTTACATACACGCCACAGTCTCATTGACACCAAATTATCAAGGCATGCTATGCCGTGATCGGCACCACAATTGAGAGCACTCAAACAGAAGGGGTGATGTTACCCAGTAGGTGTCAATATCTTTTAAAAAGTTTTTTTGCAGTTCCTGGTAGTTTCTCAAGTCAATACTCTGTTACTGGGATTTAGAGTATGTATGGATGTAGATACACTCCGTAGATACTCGCCAGATTGTAGAGGCTGATAATTGAACACCTTAAAATTAGGTGGACACTTCATTAGCCCATGTCTGAACTAGCGCGGTAAGTGCAAATCCGAGAAGATGCTTTTGTACCTGAGTTTGCAGGTGTTACAGAGCATATGGCCTCATTTTTTTCAAGCCAACATGCAAGATATAGCTGCCTGGATAGGTAAGAAAAGTCGCCGTATAAACACATTATGACAAGTACTTCCAAAACTTCTGCATTTTTCTATGCAACGAATTTCTTCTGTCGGCAGCTTCTATATTGAAATTAGACGACAACCAATCAATCAAGCCCGTTCTACGGTTGTATGATGGCAAGGTAATCTAAAATACTGTTAACATTAGTACATTTGACATGCACTGGCTACTAGTAATTTTGGTCCTCCTCAATGCTGGTAAGATATTTCACCTTTCCCGTTCCAACACACTAGATCAAAACGACGGGCAAACACCTGGATAGTAAAATCACTTATTTTTAATGCCGCTATGCTTATACAGTATCTTGGACTCACGTGCGTAGGTACTCGATACAATTATGACCTACAAGCACATGAATGATATTATAAAGTCCCGACGTTCGCATTAAATTTCCGAGATCTAGCCGATATGCATCAGTAGAAGTCCTGTGCTCTAATTACAGTTTTTCGGCTCTCTTTTGCCCCATAATTGAGGATACCGCGTCAACAAACTCCTTGCTCACAGACTGCTTCTCTTTCAGGCTCTTTGCTTGCCATTCAACGCGACGTCTCTTTGGGCCATCAGTCCAACGCTGAGACTCCGTCACCAACCAATTTCCGACATGGTCAGCCAAATTGTTCAAGTTGCGATCAAAAGGCATAGTATGCTCCCCATCCTCAATAACAACTTGTCTAACAGCGCCCAGTCTCATACCACCATTACCTCCAACACCAGTGCCTGTGATTCTCGCCCTCTGCTCCCGAACAACAGGGTTACCAAAAAGCGGCGATTTACCTCCATTCACATACAGAACCCAAGGCCTCATTCCAGGTAGTAAATCCCACCCCAACCGCATTTCTGGCCTGTAGAATGGGCCCTCGTAACGATCGGCAGGGTTACTATCAGGGACAATCTCCCGCTGTGCCAGCGTGACTTCATCAAGTCCACCGGGCTCCAACCCCACATTCCCTGGATTGTGCCGGAATACAAGAGACGCAATCTGATTTTTGGGTGTGGTCAAAGCCCAACTGCCAGCTTCTGAGTTTGTGCCTGTTTGAACAACGCCATATACTTTCAGCCGAGATCGCACCTTCTCACCCCACGCACCAGCACCCTGAGCCTTGACACCCCTGATTTCGGCCTCTTCCCGGGTGGGCCACGATTCCTTACGCTGCAACATCTGATACACCCATTGAATGCCCATCTCCCGTCCATAATTCGGATCAATGCCCGGCTCGACAAAAGCAAAAGAATGGAATAAAGTCGGGTGCCATGATGACAGACAAAGCAGCTGATTACATCCGACAGAATGGCCGAGACCAATGATCGGCTTCGGCATTTGAGTATGGAAATGGTTGATCATACTCCACAGATCGCGGGAATGATCGATCCAGGTTGGATCACAGCCTAGGTTTTCTAGGTTTGCAATTGCACTTTCGCCCATGTTGAACATGTCTGCTATCCATATCGAGCGGATAGTAACGTTGGACTTGTTTGTTCGGGAGAGTAGTTCGGCGAAGAATGGTTCGTAGATCTCTTTGATGAATCCCACGCCTCCTGATACGATGATAGTGATCGGGTCTTGGGTGTTAGATGATGGGGTCTCTGCCTTGAGCGGAATGTATTGCTTTACTGAGAGGCGGATGCCTTTCTGTTCGTCGATTATAGCGTGGGGGTACTCGCGGAATGGGGTAATTGGGATTAGATGGGAGATGATCTCAAACGGAAAATCCTTTTCGAGAGGGGTTACTGGAGTTGATTCCGCCATTTTGTTGCGATAACTGGAAATTCCCATGAAGAGAGTAAAACAGTTGATGCAAAAGAGAAATGTAGCGAGAATGCATTATCGTGCGGGGTTTGAGATATCACGTTTGGGGGCTAGTATGGTCACAGTGGGTTAATTATAGCGATGCTAACCCAATTAAATATACCTTGACCAAAATGATTCCTCAAAGGGTCAGCACCTCTGAACTCGGCCAAATTACGCAACTGTTGACGAGTGGTTCTACCAAAAACTTTAAACTTTATCAATCGGCAGGGTCCAGGCACCGGAATAAGAAACGTTGTTATATTGCAAAAAGTACCAAATCTTAAATCACATACAATACACAAGTGGCAGTATAGTATTTCTATGTCCAGGAACGTCAAAATGAATATAAAAAAAGAGGATCAAAAGCCCATCCACCAAATTAGTTGAGTTCGTTTAGAATATCCTCCGCCGCCTTCTCCGAGACCATGTACGTCGACACAGCTGTGAAAGTTCCAGGGATACGAGGATACACAGAGGCGTCAACAACTCGCAGCCCACTAACACCACGAACGCGGAACTTGGAGTCCAAAACAGCCATAGGATCCTCATCCGTACCAATAGGGCAAGTACACGAAGCATGATGTCCCCAAGCAGTCTCCATAATGTAATCATGGATCTCCTCAGTGGAGGTAATTTCTTTTCCAGGCAGAATCTCATCAACATCAACAAGCTGACGTTTGAACGCATCCCGCGCAACTCCAATAGCCTCAGTCATGGCAGTCAAATCTGCCTCATAGTCGCCACTGCCAGAGTCAAAGTAATTAAACACAATCTCCGGCATATCAAGTGGATCAGCCGAACGAAGCTTCACCGAGCCAGCAGTGTTCCGCGGGTGAGCCTTGAGAATCGCCCACGACCACCAATCATGGTGCTCAGTGATATTATAACTATACCCGGGGAAGTAACCACGGAAATTAATCGGGCCACCGAAGACGAATGCATCGAAGTCATTGTCCACGGCCGCAGAGCTCTTATACAGCATCGTACTAGCAAATCCATTCGAGGAATAGATACCCCTATTTCCGAGGATGGGATTATTCCACCGCTCGAGACACGGGTCTTCTTCGGCATCGTCGCTGAAGGTACACCCGTCCAGCGCAGTGAAATTGTGCGGGACCTGTCCCTGCACAGAGGTCTCGTAGTGATCTTGCAAATTCGTACCGACACCAGGTAGATCGACGACGACATCAATACCGAACTGCTGGAGTTCGTCTGCGGGTCCGATACCGCTTAGCTTGAGGAGCTGAGGCGAGTTGTACACGCCACCTGCAACGATTACTTCACGCGATGCGGTGACATTACCCGGTGTGCCCTTCGCAGCTGTGCCGGAGCGTGGGCTTGCGCGGAAGAGGTACTTGCCATCGAGGAACTCGACGCCGCTGGCTCGCGGTGTACCGGTAGAGTTATCAAAGGTGATTTTTGTAGCTTGGCAGTTTGTGCGAATGTCGAGGGGGTACTTCTTTGAGCCGTCGGTGTTCTTGGCGTCTCGGACAGCGACGAGGAACTCGCGTGGACCATTGCGCTTTGCGTTGTGGGTGGCGATTGGGACCTGGTAGTATCCGTTTTCTGTGTCACGGGTTCGAGAGTCGGCGTTGGCGTCGGCGGCTAGTAGAGTAGCGACGTTGAAGATGGTGTCGGTGATATTGCCTAGCGCGAAGGCGCCACCGAGTAGCATGTCTAGGAGCAGTGGATCTTCGAGGACGATGCTAAGTGGTGCGGTTTGATCGTGCAGCCAACCGTCATATCCGTGGCCTGGGAGGAGGGGGAGGAGGTAGTTGTTGTTCTCCATCTTCTTGAAGTACTTGCGCATGTTATCCGGGGCCCAAGATCCATCGCCTGTCAGTGTAGAGATGTAGTCGAAGTCAGATTCGAATGGGTACACGGTGACTAGGGCGTTGTGGGCTGTGCATCCACCGAGCGTCCCAGTACGCGGGTATAGGATTCCCTTCATTGTTGAACCCGCGGGCGGGTCGAGACCAACGTATTCGCCGCCATCGGGAGTATCATAGGTAGTCTTGTAGTCGAGTGCCTGGCGGGTATCGTTTGTATAATGACGCACAAAGTAATTCCAAGCGATAGCTGGATCCTCGGAAGCCTTGGCGGAGTATGCTGGGACGGTATAGTTGTTGCTATTGCCCTGGTCATCTCCAGCCTCGATCAATAGAGTCTTGTGGCCAGCGAGAGCAAGGCGAGCAGCCAATGGGCCGCCACCAGCTCCAGATCCCACAATGACATATTCATAGCCAGTGAGCTTGACGGCAGCTCCCAGGCTTGCCAGTGAAAGGGCAGCCAGGCCAAAGAGGCGTGGGAGAAGCATATCGATGTATAAAACAAAAAGGAAAAAATGAATGACTTGAGTTGGAAGTGATGGAGGGGTTAAAGAAAAGTCAGTGACCTCTACGGGACTGATTTACTTAAATTCATTTCTATGACGAAGGGGATCGCCATTGTGGTCCGGGGAAAAGACGGAATCGATTATAGCATACCCAGTATAGGGGTCAGGTGAGAGCAGGAAGCGAGATGATATTGGTGATCAGTAAAAATTGGAAAGCCACTATGGAGCACGTAGTTCAAAACAGTTCCGCTCGTAGTTTACTTTCAATACTGGACAACCAACCAAGAGCACCGGAGCAACTCCATAGACGACGATCTGAACTGTTTCAAGCAGGTCGACAGGCTAGTGGTTTAGCTGTGGGGCGGTACGAGGGAAAAAGCAATGTCCAAGCGCACATCATTTCAATATCAACCGAACCAACCGAGGTGTCAAGTTCTTGGCATCTACATGGTTGATATGTAGATACGACTTTTGCGAAAAGTACTCATATATGGCATGCATTAGTTCCTTGTCATGCATGCTAATTAAGTTTGTTTCCGATCAGATTGGCTAAGTGGATCTGACCCACCTGCATGGAATGGATCGGGATCCTGATCTCAGCTTGGAACGCAATCTACTCCACTAGAAGAGATTTATCTGGATTTCTTGTTTACGAGGATCAGGTTCGTCGGATCCTGCGGAAGGTGGATTAGAGACCGGGTCGGAATCCCGGTTGTGTGACATTGCAATGCTGTCATTCCTTTCCCTGCAGGCACATGTGGTTCTGTTTACAAAGCTGTAGTAGAGTGCATAGATATCACACATGTACTTTGCTGCCTAAGTCACATCGCTTCGATAGTACATGTAGTAATGAAGTCTATAATATTTGCTGTTCACGGACATTACTACAGAACAAGTCTAGTCTTGGCTCCTCGGTGCAAGGGCATTGGAAATAAAATCAATCCAATAGAATATACACCCGGCTTCATCCCATTCATAGCTCGTCCTTAAGGTCCTCCGCCGGCGGAGGCATCGGTCGACCGCTATCCGTGGCCAAATCGACGCCAATCTTCTTGCGCCACTTCTCCCATAAAGCGTGGAAATCCTTCTCCATACCACTCTCCATCTGATCAGGCAGAACAACGGTATATTCAACCAGGAGGTTACCAGGGTGATCCTCCTCATGGACGTGATCGTGGAGATGGCCCTCAGAATAATGAGGCATTCCCTCGCCATGAATTGTCTCAACAGACAAAGGCTGCACAACCTCTCCACGGTTACGACCAAGACGGACCACATGTCCATCAAGATGCGTCAAGTTGCGCGACCATCCACCCATCCAAGCCTCCCTCAACGAAAGCGTCTCCTTCCAGAAAAGATCCTTGCCCTTTCTCCTAAAAAAGGTACCATCAGTCCGCTCCTCATCATCAGCCCCGAGCTCCGGCTCCTTCTCATCCAGAATAACAATTAGGTCGCCAGCAACCCAGTCTGGGCTCTCGTCCGCCTCATTCTCAAAGACCAACCGCGTTCCCCGACCCATCCCCGGCTCGATACTAGCCGACGTCTCGACCTCCTTCCGCACAACACGGTTGCCCTGACAAACAGGACAGGGATTCTTGATCTTCTTTCCTTGTCCCGCACACTTATCACAAGGCATCTGCACCTGCTGGAACATGCCCGGCGCGAGCATATGCTTCTTGATCACGCGACCATGTCCTCCGCACTGATCGCAAGTCGTCACCTCCCGATCCTTGGATCCTGTTCCCTCACAATCATCACAGATCTGCTGCTTCTCAACTAGGAAGTTGATCTCGCGCCCCTTGTAGAAATCACGAAGCGGCAACGCAGCCTTCACTTCCATATCGGGTCCGCGGCGGTGTCCAGATCCATGTCCGAAATGACCACCACCGCCGAAGAAGCGAGAAAACAGGTCAAATGGGTCATTTCCACGTCCGCCTGCCGAACCACCTTGACGCTGTTGCTCAACGCCTTCATGTCCGTATTGATCGTAGACCTTGCGTAGGGAGGAAGTGGAGAGAACATCGTAAGCGTCTGCGATTTCGACAAATTTCTCACGAGCGGACTCGTCGTTACTAGAAAACAGAGTATGATCAGCATAACTACTCCAAGTATGGAAAACAAAATGTTCAAGCGCCGGTTTGGGTAGTAAAGTAAAAAAGATGGTTTAACTCACGGATTCTTATCAGGATGATACTTCTTGCTCAGATTCCGGTATGCACGCTTAATGTCTTTCTCCGAAGCGGACTTATCAATCCCGAGCACCTTGTAGTAGTCCTCGGCAGCCAAAACAACCACCGAGAACAACACTACCGCCAATGTGACCAGGAAACGAGTGAGGTGCATTTTAAAGACTTATGTCTGTGCAGTAGGTTTTGGAGATAGCTCGTAAAGGTTTTAATATCCGGAAGGTGCTGCGCAGTGCAAATTGAACCTCGGCGGTTTGCGCAACACTGCTAGCTCTAGCTGTGCGGAGCTTGTTGGAGCTGCGGTCTGGGTGGTGTGGAGGTTTGTTGGTTAGGTGATGGTCATGAGGAATGATCGGGCGCCCCGGGGTTGTTTCCAATAAACAAGGGAGTCAATGGAGTCGACCACGTATAGTTCAGTTTATGTTCAAGCCGCGTCGAACGGGACAAGTAATCCTTATCGCGATGAGGAACAATGTTCGGCCGGGTCACGTGTGTTATACATCTATGAAGCAGTACTGAGCTGTGAAAGAAAAAGAGTAGATGATGAGGTTTCAAAACAGTAATAAAATGGCAATATATCATTTTGATACTCATAATTAGGAGATTGAGATACTATAAGGGTATTCGCCGAGTAAATTGAAGATTTCGAGTGCCATATGCGCCGTCAGATAAACATAAAGATCCGAACCAATCGTGAATCATGAACTACATACTGCCTTAAAAACAAAAAAACATTACAGGATTAGCTTCAGTGATGTCCAGCCACATCAAAGATCTCATTCCGCCACGTGCGGCCCAATCCATGGGTCTCGTCACCATCCTCAATTGCTTCCTGGGCACGGGTAGCCTCTTCATGCCACGTCTTAACAATACTGCCTGGAGCGTAGACTCCCTTGAACACACCGCTGTCTGGAGGTTCCAAGCCAACACGAGTCTCAACATCATCATTGGCAGGTACCAGTCGTGCTAGCACGGCACGCACAAAGGTGGCCAGGTCTTGAGGGTTGGCGATGCGGGTGGCACGCAAACGCTCTCGAGCGAAGACCAGCTCTCGGTTCAAAGTAGAAGCGGCATTCACGATTTCTTCCGCAATCTTTCTTTCAAGGACACGACGCACAAGGTGCTTGAGGAAGGGCTTCGTCAACCACAGCAAGAACTTCCATTTGCTCTTCTGTACCTTGTAGTCTAGTTTGTGAATACGTACGCGGACTCCACGGAGAGTAAAGATGTGTTCTAGTCGGTCACGGCCAATCTCAATGTCCAGAGAAATGTCGATGCCACGACGGTCAAGATAGAAGCTAGCAACTCCTTCGTCTCTCAAGCGGAAGAAGAGGTGATGAGTCCTAAACCAGTAGCCAAACTCCTGAGCACTGATATTCAAACCGTTGAGGGACACACGGAACATGGTCTTGATGGCTGTGTCTGTTCGCTTCGAATGCTTTTTGACAATTTCAATCTCATTTTGTGTGAGCAGATGCATGCGGTAGGGCAGGAATGACGAGTAGTTGACCGTGTGACCGGGCTCCAGAACGAGATTTTCCAACAACAGGTCCATCTCAGGAGCAGAAACCTCCAGGCGAGGAATTGGCACGTACTGGATCATCCGTAGGATGACGGGGAAGGCGACATTTGCCAATTCCGCAGGGAAGTGAGCTTTTTTGCTGTTGTACGCATCCCCCGCATCGCCATAGATCTTCTTAATCGCATTGACCAGCTTGTAAACAGCCGGGTCATCAGGGACAGTGCGCAACGTCCGTTTAGCCTGTAGGAGGAAGCCATCCACGTCGTGACGAAGACGAGTCTCCGACCCGACCTTCTCCGACTGTTGCTGCAGCTCTTCCAGCTTTTGTGGGGCTGAATCGAAAAACTCCGGGTCGGTTAGCATGTCCTTCAGCGAGCTGCCTACTTCTCCCATCAGTCGTTCAAATTCGGGATCCTTATTCGCGTGACGTAGGACATCGTGGAACTTTTGCTGGAGGCGATCCCACTCCTTTGCTTGACCGAACGATCGCAGCAACCCCCAAAATTGATCCACCGCCTGTTTCAGGTCGGAATTGAGTTCAACATCTTCATGTGCAGCCGAGGCAGTGTCTTCAGCGGCATTAGCGTAGAGAACGGCGTAGCGCTGTACCAACTGGGTGATGGTGGAGACAGAATCCGAATAGTCAGTTCGCTCGCGGAGATTCAGGACGACTTGTTTAATCCGATGCAACAAAGTCTCTTTCTCTTGGCCTGCAAGGTGCTCACGGGCGCTATGCACGGCCGCCTCGCCAGTTTGCGCGACACCCTTGCCAGCTACTTTGACCGTCTCAACCAGTTCTTCCTGTACTTCCTCTCGCGAGATGCGGTGCTCCTCATCAGCACCGGGACCAGCTAATGCTTGCTCTTCTTCCTCGGAGGGTTGGATCTGCTCAGCGACCTGTTTCGAGGCCTCGGAGAGAGAGGACGCAGTGTCAGCAAAGATCTGGCGACCTACGGTGGCGACGTCATCGATAAAGAGTCGGAAGTCCGCGTTGGTCAGAAGCAAGCTTCCAATGGTGCGGAAGCTATCGTACGCTAATCATGCAAGTACCCCAGTTAGCAGATCATTGAGTACCCGACGGCAAAGCCCATTTAGCTCAGCTGTCAATCAGGCCAGGGAGGGGCAATGGAACGACCCACCTGCTTTAGTGTCAGCGCGCGCTTTCACGTGGGCCGCGGTGTTGGAGACCCGGGAGCTATCGAGGGCCACCCGAGATCGGGACAGGTGCCAGAGAAAGTCCTGCAGTTGATCCTGGCTATTTTTGGTGCGCAGGAACTCAATGCAGGCCTCAGTCAACAAGCGCACATCGCGTACCAGCTGGCGACCGTGGCTGCCGATCTCCTGATTCCGAAGGTTCAGTACGTCTGAGGCGAGCAAGGTGCGTAGATTGGCGATTGCCTGTTCCGTGGATGGCATGTACCCCTCGGACAAGGCGCGGAACATCTGATAGGAATGCAGCTTCTGGTGGAGTTGACGCTGACGGGCAGTGTCGTCCTCATAGCGAGGGAGAAGGGGCTCCGTCTCGTTCGGCATAATTGATGAACCCTTTTTTGGGCCAGGGGCATATGCGTCTGGTTGATTAGTTGAGCGCGTTGATGAAAGAGGTGTAAGCCCAAAGGTTTGAATTGAGATCTACAAGGTAGGATTCCAAGATTGTTGTGGCCGGGACGTCAAGGGAGGGGGAAAGAGCTCAACCTGTTTTGGTTCGGCATGATGACGACACGGGTCGTGTAACTGTTTGCTACGAGGATCGCATGACAAATTTTGAAGGGAGTTTGTACTCCAATGTTGGATAATGTTCGAGCATACAGAGAGGTCCAATGTACTCAATTCTCAAAGGGTAGTATCATTGCATGTGGCTAGAAGGGTCGGAGCCGATCGGGGCGATCTGGGGAAAGCTATAGCTTTTGCATGTGGGAGTCTCGGTCCGCTACCAGTTGCCCTAAGGGCGGGTCTATGCCCATGAGGTTCGAGGTTCGAGGTTTATGCTTTTTTTTATGCCAAATTTTCCCCAGGGTTCAGGTCCATGATCAATTGATTCATACCTTGGGCTTACCAGGGATGTGGTCGTTTGGCCAGTTCTTGCGCATGCCAAAGTAGATCTACATTGTAGGTACCGGGCACCACCACCTCGTGGAGTTCGTATCCTGAACACTCGACCGGCTTCATTGAATGCAGACAGATCGAATAAATCCACCGAATCGCCCGATTAACAATTTGTTTAACGACCGGTCTACAGTGTTCCGGATTGATAGAGAATTTGTTCCATGACGGATTCCACGCGTAGATCTCAGCAGGCTAAGCGTTTATCCTGCAGTTTGGAAAACCGTTGGGAACCTCTCGGCGAGACCACAATGTTGCCATGCATGGGCACCCGGCAAGGGGTCCAATCAGCGATGCGATAAATTCTTTCATAACTCCGAATGACGGTGGGTTCGTGTTTCCAAAAAAAAAAAATCACGCAAGGCCGTGCTGGGGGGCGACAGATATAATCAAATGTCCCTGTCGGCGGAGAAGACCATTCAGAGCTCAGAAATCCTCGTTACTAACACAGCCAAAAGATGAAACCGCTCACCGGTCAGCGATTTCCCTCTCCGTCGTTTCCGCCCGATATCATCCTTCCCTATCACTTGGCTTACACGGCGGCCTCCGCCTACCGACTGCTCTGCCCCCGCTCGCTCCCATCTCCGATGTATGAAGATCAAGTCCGTTGGGGGCTAGAGGATTCGGTGAGCAAAGGCCCTTTGTAAAGTGGGCAACTTCTCCGTTTTCTAGAACAATACAAAAGTACCATAACCCTTTGTCTCAATTTTGGTTGGTTCATTTTTAGCTGTTAATTAAGTCTGGCACCGAGAAAGCTCCACTTCGGCACCATCTGCGGCTCTGGAAGCTCGCTGGAGTGGATGCGGATGGCTGGGCGGGATCCATCATTCGTCTCTCCCCGGCCTCATGAACCAATGAGATCCGCTGAAGATTTGTCCACGCGAGTACATTCGGAATTCAGTTTGAGAGCTACCGTGTACATTTCTTTCTCGGAATGTTATGCATGCAAGTCAGATAAATCCCGCAAAATTGGCATCCAGGACGCGGCCTACCGTGTAGTATGTATTCTTGTGGGAGACATGGGCTGAGCAGGATATAGATCGTCGTGCAGAACACGACAGGGCGGTGTATCATAGTCCCTGCAACCAATGAACGTCGTAGTTGCCACTGTAGCAACCATGTTTTCTCTTCAACAAAAAAATTCAATCTCCGCAATTACTCCAAAAAAGACTCGCCTCAACTCCTTGCTGGATCTGCTTCCCGAAAAAGAAAAGAAGCTTTGTGAGGGATCCAGACTCCACCGGGATAATTTCAAGCACAACGGTTCGCTGCCATCACCGAAATATCCACATCTGAACCTCCTGGGACCCCCCCCATCCCTTTGTACCATCCCCGACTCTTCCCGACCCCCAAATCATGTCTCTGCTTTTACTGAGTGGCCTTGTCCTCGACACGCGGTCAAGGCTCCGGCAAGTTCCCTCTTTACCTCTGTCGGAATGTCCTGGATGATGTGCGCCCAAATGACCCAGGGGAAGGCTAGCCTGTTCGCCCGTGTACATAAAATCACACGGAGCTCGCCCCATCTCCAACTCTCTTCTTTCTATCATTCTTCCTCTACCTCGACGACTAAGCTATTTCGCTCTTCGTCTGACACAATGGCTCGATTTTCTCCTCAACAAAGCCGTCCGGTCCATGCGACCCCATTCATGAACCACTCGACTACCCCTTCGTACGTACTAGCTACCTTATGAGAGAAACAAAGAAAAAGAAAGAAAAAAATGAAGCCTTGTACTGGTTCAACATTGTTCAACCATGTAGCATTGGTCTATTCAATGATCCTCTTTCCATCTGGGATATTCACTAACGCCGTTCTTGCTTTGCTTCATATAGAGATGCCAACTATGACACTGCCAACCCTTCCTACATTCGCAAGTACCTGCGCACATATGGCCTCACACCTCCTCGCTCCGAGAGCTACGAAACTCAGAAGACTCGCTGCCTGGCCCAGTTGGGACTGAAGAACACTCCCATCGATAAGTTCCTTTACTTGCAAAATCTGCGCAAGAACAATGTCCACCTGTTCTACCGCATGGTCACCGACCACCTCCGGGTATGTAGACAATGCCATGGCTATGCCCAAAAACAAAATACACAAACAAAAAAAGACCGAGGCTAATCACCACTGCAGGAACTTACTCCCCTCATCTACACCCCTGTTGTTGGCGAGGCCTGCCAAAGGTGGTCCGAGATCTACCAGGCACCGGAAGGTAAGAATCCCCATGAGTCATGACGAAATCAACGAAATAGATCCGGGGAACTAATTTGGCGAAAAATTAGGTATGTACCTGAGTTGGGAGGATCGCGGTAATCTCGCTGCTGTGATCGCCAATTGGCCCCAGCCGAATGTGGAGATCACATGTATCACCGATGGTTCTCGTATTCTCGGACTTGGTGATCTGGGCATCAACGGTATGGGTATCCCCATTGGCAAGTTGGCTCTGTACACTGCCTGTGCGGGTATTCGTCCCGAGGCCACCCTCCCCTTGACCCTCGATCTTGGCACTGGTAACAAGACCCTCCGGGAAGACCCGCTGTACATGGGTAGTCGCCGTGATAAGATCAGCGCCGAGGAGGAGCGGGAGTTTTTGGATGAGTTGATGGCGGCTCTCACCGAGCGCTGGCCTGGGTAAGTTCTCCCCATTCACGTCATCCCGGCGGATCTTCCGAATCCTTTGACTCCGGAATCCCCCGTGGAGAAACATGGCTAACGAAGCTTAATTCTTATAGTATTGTTATCCAATTCGAGGACTTCAAGAACCCCTTCCCCGCACTTGAGCGTTACCGGGATACCTACACCTGCTTCAACGACGACATCCAGGGTACTGGTGCTGTCATTCTGGGCGGTGTCATCAACGCTGTCAAGCGTTCCGGTCTGCCTTGCAAGGATCACCGCGCCGTGTTCTTCGGTGCTGGCTCCGCCGGTGTCGGTGTCGCCAAGCAGATTGTTGACTTCTTCGTCCGTGAGGGCATGACTGAGGATGAGGCCCGCGCTTGCTTCTACCTCGTCGACACCAAGGGTCTGGTCACTGCTGACCGTGGCGACAAGCTTGCCGACCACAAGGTCTACTTCGCTCGCGAGGACAACAATGGCGCACAGTTCAAGACCCTGGAGGAGGTCGTTGACCACGTCAAGCCCACCATTCTGATGGGTCTCTCCACCATGGGTGGTGTCTTCACCCCCGAACTGCTCCGCAAGATGGCTGACTGGAACACTACCCCCATCATCTTCCCCCTGTCCAACCCCTCCTCCAAGTCCGAGTGTGACTTCGAGACCGCCGTTGTCAACACCGATGGCCGCTGTCTCTTCGCCTCCGGTTCGCCCTTCCCCAACTCCACCTTCACCAATGCCGCCGGTGAGACCCGCACCTACTACCCCGGCCAGGGTAACAACATGTACGTCTTCCCCGGTATCGGTCTCGGCAGCATTCTGTCCAAGGCCGTCCGTGTCACCGACAGCATGATCTACGCCTCTGGCGAGGCCCTCTCCAAGGCCCTTACCGCCGAGGAGCTCGAGCGTGGTCTGCTCTACCCTGACATCACCCGCATCCGTGAAGTGAGCGTTGTCGTCACCCGCAACGTCATCCGCGCTGCCCAGGCCGACGATGTCGACCGTGAGACCGGTCTTCGCAAGATGTCCGACTCCGACCTGGACCTGTGGATCAAGTCCCGCATGTATGACCCCCACACCGAGGTCCGCTCCCTCGAGCGCGAGGTTGGCCACCTGCTCTCCAGCCTTGGCTCCCTCTCGCCTCTGCTGAACGGTTCTCCCACCGAGGAGAAGCCCGCTAAGCTGTAAGATTCTCATTACCTTACCACACGAGCACTTCTCCCCCGATGACCATCATCATGACGCCATGTTCGATCAACTACCCCATCATGCGTGCCCTCACCACAACCAAAAATAAGCAATTTGTTCTAATCGCAAGACTTGCTTAGGACCACTGCATGATGTGCCTTGACATGCTTCATTCTCATCATTTTTATTTCTTCATTTTCTGGTTTCGAGCGCGCTTCTCTTTTTATTTTTCAGCTTTATCATGTTTTTAAGGGATGGATACACGGACACTTGGTTTTCTTCTCATTTGGAATACCCTTTTACTTCGTTTTTGGCTCTCGCAATTGAGTGTCCTATGCATTGGGTTTAGGATCAAAATCATCTTGAATGATCAAAAATTGAACATACATTTATCTCAAATGGCTTTATCTCTTCTACGTGTAATACATGGACTTGATCTTGATTGTATTTAAGTATAGATCCCTCTTGAGCCTAGTAGAAGGGGCGTCGCTTAGACCCCGCCGGCTCATAGTCTCCATGAACCTCGGGATCAATGCACACATTGGAGCTGATCATTACGCAAAATAACTTTCTTGTATCGCAAGTACTGGGAGTCCATCCGTGAATTATGGACTTGGTGCAACCTCGGCCATCATCAGAAATGATTAGAAACATGAAAGACAGAAACGAATCCTGAAGAATGACATAGTACGATATAAAGTCGGTGTTTGAATTCCTCCGTTTTACATCGGATCACGGATAGGGTCCAGGAGTGACTTATCATTGCCGAGAGGAGGATAAATCTAGAATCCAGGGAGTTTGCACCAACGGGTCCCCTAGAATCACATCTGGCTCCAGATCAAACAAGGTCCACTCTGCAGGATTGATTTCTAAGAACTTTACTCAGCATCCGGCCCAATTAGACTCGAAACGGCAGATCCACTATAGAGACGGAGCATCAATCTCTCCGCGTGGCCATGACTAAGAGGGACCGAGGTTGGGCCCGCGTTCTTTATCGTTTGATGGACATAGAAATCCTTGTTTTCCCTCTGGCTTTCACTGAATGATTAAAATTGTTCAATGCACTTGTGGAACTTTTAATTGACCGAAATAGACGGTCAGTTGATCAAGAGGCTCATCTTTATTTCCCGAAGAGCCGCTAACCCTCTTTGATTAGATTCTGCACAGTACTGTACGTTTGCGCTTGTGCATATCAGCCAATCGCAGGACTGTGAAGCACACACCCCTGCCCTTTTCTTTACTTTGAATCAAAGACCCCTGCAATAGTACAAAAGATGCCTTCTCCATTGGCAGACCCTGTCAAGCTCCCCTGTGGACTGGTTCTCCCCAACCGTCTTTCCAAGGTACACTACATACAAAAAAATCCATACAGTGGAACGCGGACACTCTACTAACTCATCACAGGCGGCAATGGCTGAGATGATTGCCAAAAGCAATACACCAAACCAAACCCTCTCCGATGCCTATGATCAATGGTCACAAGGTGGATGGGGTAGCATCCTCACAGGTGCGCGAACTTCAACCCCAAAACCCAACATCAGGGACCAGAACTAATCCCACACAAATAAAGGCAATGTTCAAGTCGATGTAAACCACCTAGGAAGTCCCTTCGACCCGGCCCTACACGCCGAATACAAAGGCGAAGAAAGCCTGGTTGCCTTATGGAAACACTATGCCGACGCATGCCAAAAGCACGGCACACCGGCTATTGTACAGGTCTGTCACCCAGGTCGCCAGTCGTTCCGGGTCGCAGGCCACCGCGGCATCTGGGCGAATACCATCGCACCCAGTGCCGTTCCCATCAACCTGGGTAGTGGTTTGCTGGAGCGCTTTATTACAGCTTTGGCTTGGACGTCACCGCGAGAGATGACCGGTTCAGAGGTTGAAAGGGTTATTTCGCAGTTTGTTGATACTGCGCGGCTTATGGCTGATGCAGGATTCTCGGGCATTGAGTTGCATGGTGCGCATGGCTATTTGATTGGTATGTTCCATGGCTGGTTTTCAAGCAATGAGAATGGTGAGCTAATGGGATTCATTACAGACCAATTCCTAAGTGGAAAGGTAAAGCTTCTCTTCTCTTTGCCTTCAACTTCTGACATGAAGTTTTCCACTCAAACCAATACAAGAAAGAGAAACATACTAACGACCCATCCAGACAAACCTCCGCACAGACGAATACGGCGGCACGCCCGAAAAACGCGCCCGCTTCGTTCTAGAAATCCTAACTCAAACCCGCAAAGTAGTGCCAAGCACCTTTTGCATCGGTATAAAACTTAACTCGGCAGACCACAGCTCTGACACCTTCGAAGAAACAATGACACAGATCAAACTACTCGTCGACGCCGGCATCGACTTCATGGAGATCAGCGGCGGGACCTACGAGGACCCCAAGATGATGGGATACCCCACCAAAACTGAGACCGAGTCAGCGCCAGCACCAGCCAAGTCAGAGCGCACGGCTGCGCGGGAGGCATTCTTCCTTGAATTCGCCAAGGAGGTGCGCATGCGGCACCCTGGTTTGGTGCTGATGTTGACAGGCGGGTTCAGGAGTCGGACCGGTGCAGAGTCGGCGATTCGGGATGGGGCCTGTGACCTTGTGGGGATTGGTCGACCTGCTGCTATTGATCCTAAGCTTCCTTTGTTGTTGCTTGATGAGAGCGTTGAGGATGAGAAGGCTGCGCTGCGCTTGAATAAGGTGCCTCCGCCATTTTACGCCCGGTGGTTGCCCAGGAATTTGATTGGGGCTGGGGCTGAGAGTGTAGGTTTTCCTTTCGATCTCTTGGCTAATTTCGCTAACACTTTGTCTAGACTTATTACTCCGGTCAAATCCAGCGGTTGGCAAAGGGTTTGGCTACTGTTGCGCCGGCCGTGTAAAGAACTTTGGACATTGAGATTCACTGCTCCTATACTGTTCGGCAGGGATGAATATTCCAGAAGCCTTAGAATACATTTTTCTGTTTAGTATTATTAATTGTTCAAGTTATTCTATTAGTCCTTCGAATAGTGGTATATCATCCTTCACTTCATCTTGCTTCAGATGTTCCAATTGTCGATACAGCTCTTCATTACCCTTTACCAAAGACTCCACATATCTTGCCGTTTCATCTAGGATGTACTTTCTTGTAAAGTTATTCCTCTCAAGTCCAGGTACCGTCCGGCAAAGATTCCGATATCCCTCTCCAACAGCATCCCTCCTCTTCTTCTCCGAGCGGCAATGGCAAAGAGTCTGCCCAGGCGTCTGTGTACACTTCCGTTTCTTCTTGTTTGGTGGCGCCACATCTTTTCTCTCATCTGGCGAAGCCGATGAGGCCGATGATGTTGGCGTCAAGGCAGGTACGGACATGGGCACAAAGTTCGATCGTCCGTTATCGAAATCTAATGAAGCATCCTCATTTTTGAAGATAATCGAATCCCATTTCCCAATATTATGACTGGTGGAATATTCCAAAGGATCAAATTCCATACTGCCGAGGATGTTGATGTCGATATCGCTGCACATGTAGGTCAAATCGCGCTTTAAGTTCTGGACCATTCGGTCTTCTGTCCACGTTCCGATCGGGCAGGAGAAGCCATGGAAGCAGAAGCTAGGATCAGAACCCCATTGTAGGCCGTCGTCTATGGACCCGCGCTTTTTTGTGTAGTGGCGTATGCCGTTTTGTCCTGGGCAGCACCCTTTTGCTGGATCGTGGGATTGTGTGAATGGATGACCTGACATCTTATTGTGTTGCTTGTTTCTGTGGTAGGGGAAGGTAGAAGGCCCGATCGATTGGGAACTTAGAGTGGAAGCACGATTGATGTAAGAAAATAGGAGATCTGAGAGCGAGTCTTTTAGTGGCTATTGATTCGGGCACAATGTGCGTTCCGATTCCGAAGATCGGCAGTGATTGAGATCAGAGATAGCGATACATAGTGTTGGGACCTAGAGTGCTAGTCAACTTCATTTAATTTCGCTGATCTTCTGCATGGCTTGCGAGGGCTGGAATATAATAGGCCCCCGGTGGCCCTGGAAAGACGTCAACACCGGGATGCACCCGGTTTTCTGTCTAGACCCGGGTGCGTTCCGGGAATCCACTGAAGCGATCATTTGACCTTGCGAGAGCATATTATAGTATTACAATACCGTGGAATAAGAGATTTAATTTTCCATAGCCTAATACCTCAATATACCATTCTATTCCTCAGAGTCGCATGTTCGAGTGTTCACTTAGTTGCTTCCAGTATAAGTCCACGTGATGTCTTCGGGTTTGTTCCGGGACTCGCAACACTTGGCTCCTCCTCCCCACGTCTTGGGTGATATCAATACCCACCATCATTCCATGAACTTAAGTCCATTGAATGAGAGCACATGGAGGCTAGTGGACACGGAAACCCAGAATATGGCATGTGATTTGCACCAGGTGCCTCCGGATCTCGTCCGTACGACCCGGATCTGAAGAATGCGGGATCCCAAAATTGAAGGATCCACACCGAAGATATGTCTTCAAAAGACAGCACAAGGGTGAGTAAGCGAGGTATTCCACGTCGTCGCAAGGTTGCACTAGCCTGCGAGACTTGTCGGGAAAAGAAAGTGCGGTGTGACGGGGAGAAGCCGATCTGTGGACCTTGCTCCCAGCGATCATACTCGATTGACCGATGTGTCTATAAAATCGAAAATGCTCGCTCTGCTAGTAACGATGCATACTTGAAAGTGCTTCACGATCGGATTCGAGAACTCGAGGAAATATGCGCGCAAAATGGCGTCAAGACTCCCGTACCCGTTCCATCTGCCTCACAAACTGTTGGAGAAAATGAAACCAGCGATATCAATGAACAAGGACCAAATAACGGTGACTTGGATGCGGAGTCTAGAGCTTCTGTTGCTGCGGAAGGTTTGCTTGGACTGGGATCGCATGCCCCCCTTTCACAGGTTTCTTCGACGCCTGCCGCACCAGAGACGACCCCGCAAACATATCAATCTCCTCTACATTCATCTCAATCGGTGACAAGGGAAGCCGAGTCAAATGTTTCATCGCATGAGATCCGACGCCGTCATGGGTCACTTCAATTTTTACCTGCACACATGTTCTCTTCTTCATTAAATTCCCACGGCAGTGTGACGGCAATGGGCTCGATATCCGTTGCAGACGATGGGGAATGCGCTGATTCACCACGAGAACAATACTATGGGAACTCATCCGCGGCCTCTTTCATGCGTCTTGCAAGAGACTCGGTGCCAATCCGGTCTTATTTACAAGCATTGAGGCGAGCAGACCATGATACTCCAACGACTTTGAATAGAGACACGGGGCTTTGGCAAGATATGAACACCACAGCAACCCCGTCAGGGTTCCAGATCAGTGATTTTTCACTCCCACCTCGACCATTGGCAGACCATCTACTTGAATGTTATTGGGAAAGGATATATTGTCTCTATCCGTTTTTTCACCGGCCGAGCTTTGAGCAGGCATACGAAAATCTCTGGGGCTCGGCCAAGTGGCCGAAGCCTAATTTGCCGGATCTGAACATTGGGCTTGGAGGATCGTTTGATTCTGGGGCTCAGTCAATTGTCTTCCACACTGCACTGAATGCCATTTTTGCCTTGAGCTGTCATTTCTCTGATATTCCCGCTGGGGAACGCGAGACTGCGGCATATTCATTCTTCCTTCGAGCCAAACGCTTTATTGGTCTAGATTTACTAGATACAGGCACAATTGGCGTAGTTCAGACTTTTCTTATTGTTGCGCTTCTTCTTCAGAGTACCCCGTATACAGACAGATGCTGGAATGCAATCGGGCTCGCGTGCCGAGTCGGCCAGGGGCTTGGCTTGCACGAAACTACGACACAAAAATCAATTACACCTTTGGAAAAGGAGATTCGGCGTCGGACTTGGCATGGCTGTGTCATGATGGACATGTTTGTTTCTCCCACTTAGGCTGTCTTTGACAATCACTGACACTGCATGTAGGATTTTGAGTATGACCTACGGCAGACCAAGCATGACATCTCACATATCGCCTGTATACCCTGTTCCCCTTCCTGCGATGAGACCCCAGTCCGAAGCTGAAGATCCATGTGCGCTTAGTGGACAGCCTTGTGATCATAAGCTAGGCCATCTCGCGTTTTATGTCTCTACGATTGAGCTTTACAAAATTCTCGAATCCATCCTGGCCGATGTTTACAACGCATGGCAGGGTCAACCGCATCATCAACGCACCATCTCCGTCCAAGGCACCCGGCAAAATAGTCTAGATGTCATCATGGAACTAGATGATCGGCTCTCGGCCTACGAGGCCAACATTCCTCCCGTGCTTAACTGGACTACTCCACGACAAAATTTCAGCCCTGAAAATCGCCCACAACCTGTACTTCAGCGCCAGCAAAATGTGCTACGAGCAAGGTCGGATTGAATCTCTCATAAGTAGCACTCTTGCTAATTTCATGCAGGTTCATTCATCTCCGACTACTCTTATATCGTCCCATGTTCACCCAGCTTTGCTCTGAGGAGCGCATGGATACCGCCCGGCACCCCGGTGCCGACAAAAACGCAAGTACATCACGGCTAGAAAAGAATGTGATTTACACTTCCATGTCTGTGAACTGCGCTACAGCATGTGTGACGGCCGCCATTGAATTAGTCTCACTTGTATACGGGACATATATGACATCTCTTACGGATGCCTGGTGGTACAACGGTTTTTGTAAGTGAGCACTGACAAAAGAAAAGCACGAAGGCTAATATCTCAATAGATACATCCACCGCAGGATTTGTCCTGATAATGTCTTATTCCTGCTCCTCGATCTTGAAAAAGATCGACTCACGCACTATCGCCGACACATGGCGTAAATGCGAGAAAATCCTTACTCACATGGCATCATTCAGCCTCTCAGCACGTAACTCGCTGCAGTTTCTCCAAGTAACACATCATCACATCGTGCAAAACTACACTAGTATGTGCTTTGCCTTCGTTTCTAAGACAATTACTCACATTTATTACAGCAGCTTCACATCATGAGGGACATGGACCATTCCCCACGTGCCATTCGCAGCAGAGAAAGAATACCCGGACAGAAATTTCACCTCTGACCACCGAGATCTTGCCGGATGAAACCGTCCCCCGTGATTTGGATCATGATGGTTTGGGTATCAACCCTTTGACAAGTTGGGATGAGATTGGTCTGGGGCAAGAGGAGTTCGGGTTCCTTGGGAGGTTTGATGTGCCTGACATTGCTAGCTGGTTCCCTGATTTACCTGATCCTACTTTGCCGACCTAGAATGGTACTATCAACGTACACTAATTCCTCTATTACCTCCGCATACATTTTAGCAACGATCCTTACTTGGGAATCAATTACGAGCATGTGACAAAAGAACAGAATAATCTATTATTGTACTCGTTCACTCATATATGCAGGGGGCCGGTAGACGTTGGTCTACTATATAGCAAGATGCGAACACATTTACAAAGCATCAAAAAGAGTCATATCAGCATGACTCCAAAAGGTTCCAGACATATTCTCCAACGTCTCGAAATCCGGCATCCACATGGGATCACTCTCATCCTGATCAATCCAAGGCGCAAGCTGCAGCGCCATTCTAACAGCATGACCCGGATCATCAGCCGGATAAGTCCCACCACCGCCAGTTTCAGGCGCCAAGCCTGACGGGTTCGACACCGGGAATTTCTCTCCACTCGGCATTTCGGAGGTAGGATTATTATTCAGAGAGACACCGCCATGCTGGGCGGTCATTAGCTCCGCAATGCCAGTATTGCGGGCCGTCTCGTTCCCCTGTAGCTTTTCCATAGCGGCATTCACGAGTAACTCGAAGGCGTCTCTGTACTTTTTGACCCAGGATGCTCGTTCACCCATTACGAATAAAACGGTTGAGCAGGCGCGGATGTCGTTGCTCATGCTTACGGACCAGACTTGTTCAGTGTGGGTCCATAAGGCGTAAAGGAGGGTTATACCCGCCATGAAGACGGTTTGAACAGCTAGGAATGAGTGGCCGTATTCGAGAGATTGGTGGAGGCGTTTTTGGGATTGGCAGATTTGCCCGGCGGCGCGGAGACAGATGTGGTAGTATGGGTCTGTGATTGGGAGAAGAGGTAGGAAAGGCTGAATGAGAAGTCGGACGGCCCTGTGGTAATGGAGCATTGGGTAGTCGAGGTCTGGGCCACTGAAACGTAGTAAGGCGGATTCTTTCCATTGTTCGAGTTCGAGGTACAAGGGGTCCATCTTGGGTCGTAGGGAAGATATAAGACGGTCGGCACGATAGATCTTGTGCAGAATTCGGGAATCAATGCGGCGGAGCTTGAAAAGATAGATTGCGAATGTGAGATTCGTTGTCTTGGTAGGGTCCAGGTTTTGTGACGATACTGTGAGTAATGCGGGATCTTCTACGTCGTCGTCGACGTCCCATGGCAGGTCGAGGTCAATGTGGCGATCGGAGACACTGAAAGGTCGGCCCAGCGACATTGCTACAACTCTCTCAAGATAGTAAACTGTCCAAAAAAGTCTTCGTCGCATCTGTGCTGCGAATGGGTCCATATTGCTTTCGTTTGCTTTTCGATGAAGGCCAAGGTCAATTGCTGTACGCATGGCAAGTCCAATCATGTACCACATTCCATGACTTGAAGCAGTACGCAGATGATATACAACGAGAAGAACCATCGCTTCGATATTCTCGATAGAACGTGTATCACAAATCGTTGGCACGTATTGCAACGCAGTGGCATAATATCGCTGACAGAGGACATTAGCAGGCTGAAGGACTCAAAATATAGCATTTCCAACTTACCTCAGGCTGTGTATACACATATGGTTTGTTGCTAGTTATTTGAAGCAGCATTGTGGAACCAATAGCATAGATCAAATTAAGCTTAAATATCCCATATCGATCAGCCTGTGTGAGGTCTTCTCGCTTTATTTTCGCCAGTCGTCCTCTATCCTCATGGAGCTGCCATGTTCGGTTCCGATCCAAAAATGGATATCGGGAATGAAGTCTTGTGAAATATGTCTCGAGAATCCTTGATCCAACTTCGTCGTTTGGGAATTCAATATTGGCCGGGTCTCTAGCACGGGCACAGCCCCGTCCTGGCTGAGGTTGCGACTGGCTTGTGTCAGGCGCCGCCGTAGTCTGGGAGACACTTCCAATCCCAGGATTTGGACTTTGATGCATTCTCGAGATGAACTGGTTCCAGACACTGGTTTGAACCATCTCTCCGAGGTTAGCAGCCAATGAAAGGCCTGAGCTAGCTCCCACATATGCAGGTGCTTCAGACGAGGTTAATGCAAGGAGACCCACAATCTCGCCGACGGGATTGTTATCCAAGCCAGAAGTCGTGGTTTGCGGAGTAGTCTGTCCACCCTGTGGAGACCGAAGGGAGGGCGTAGCGTTTGGAACAGTGGCATTTTGAGTCGGTGGTGGTTCAGGGTGACCCAGTTTGCCTTCGAGAAATGCTACGCGCTCTTCCAGTGCGCGCGTATAGCTATGTCGAAGTTAGATGGATATCGTTGATTTACATGTACACAGATGCTCACTCATCATGACGACCTGCGTCTTCTCGTATGCTGGTCTTGTCGCACGTGACTCCCGCCTTCTGACAGTTGGAACACGTCGGGTATTCATTGTCGCACTGCATCGAAGCCGCATGAGCATGTTACTCAAATGAGAAAGTTAAACCTTGAACTAACTCTTTGTTTTCGTGTTTTGCAACGTGTGCACGCAGTCCTCCCGCGCTTTCGGGGATTGTATTGAGATGTCGGACTGGCGAGCCTCAATGACGTAGGGCTATGTCCAGGCGCATACATTTTGACTCATCACGCAATTTCAAGTGGATTATTCTTCAAACCCATATGTTCTGTCGAAGCCTCTAGTGCTGTAAGTTCGGAGGTTGCGAAATAGATGTCGGAGGGAGAACTGACATGAGCGGAAGATGCCGTGCCAAGACCTCAATGCGATGCTACGCTACTGAGTCAAGGCAAGCAAGACTTGAAATAGGTCAAGGAATCAATCGAGGTCAAATCTCTATAGGCATCGTGACTAAGTAAATAGGTATTCAGGATATTATCATATTAAAATACCAACGCTTCTGATGGTATTCAGGTTACTATACGTACCGTATTTTCTTTGACAGGTGGGGATTCGTATTCTGGTTGCCGCCGATTCTATGAGGGCGCTCGCTCACTGAGTAAATTTCAGTCTGGGCTCAGATGCACTGAGCACTCAATGGTCATGATTGGCTGCTCGCTTACACCCCACACCATTCATTACTCAGAGGCCTTTATTGACTACCCAGTCTACTTCTAGTCTATTCCTAAAGTAGCTTCTATTCTCCACACTATGCATTGAGCTGTTGACTTTTTGATAGCCCTTAACCACCGCACTATATACTTTTTGAGGTGATTGATCTATTATCTCTGCTTCTAACATTAGAGCGTAATGACATAACTTAAAGCACGCCATGGTACTTAGCACTAGTCAGCGAAGGAAAAACGATCCATTCAGTGATAAAATAATAATATAACTCAAGCCCCCAACTTTAGCTCAAATCACATACATTTTTTTCTCTCGCCCCTCCTTCTTCACTTACTTCTAAGACCTGAATACGTTTTGACATTATGGGCCAGAAAAACCTTGTTTGCTGAGATAGATTAAGTCGCTAAAGAATTAGGCTAGTAACGACAGGCAGAACATGGCAATGTCTTTGGCGCTTATTAGAGAAATTCCAGGCATAGGAAAGGCGACATTGAAAGATCCTTAGTAGATAAAAAGAAGAGCCCTTAGTTCTTGATAATAATTCTACACGCGCCTAGGCCTCAATTATTCAAGAAACCACGAGAATTGTATATGTGATGTCTTACACAAAAAAGTAGTCTTTTAAGTAAATACTTCTCTTTACATAACATCTAAGATTGCAGTATTGCTCATGCCTTTAATATCATTTACCTTCCAGGTAAAAGCCCGATTTAAGGTCTTTGCCTAGCTTGATGTTATCGAAAAGTTAGCATAAGGTAAAATAAGCGGAGCACTAGTTAAATGATGCATGCTAACTTGTTTAGCCTTCCAAAGCATGAGAGAAGCACCTATATTCATGAACATATTGAACGACAAATGGCTTTTGATCTCAAGGTTTTTGAGTAAGCCTAATATTCTGTTACGAGTCCATAGTTTCGGGTGAATGACGTAGGAAAGGTATCAGGTTGGCGAGTGTCATTTGAAATGCATCTTTGGGTTCACGTGGCGTTATATTGGATGATTTTAGCAAAATAATTTGCCGCAAGGATTTAGAAAGTTTATCATTGATGGAATAGAATCTATCAAACATGAGGGTAACATATTACTTCAATGTGAGAAAATTAGGTTCTTTTTCTCCTAAGCCTTTCGATTACATCTTTTGGCAGATGACTAGGAAAATCTCGGGTATATTGATTGAGATAGGTAACCATACGTTGGAGGAAGACAGCCCGATTTGGTCGTAGACAAATATCCATTTATGGATATCTGGTTAGAGCCATATTGGCTTCAGCACAGGCAAGGCCATAATGATGGAGTATGGCTCCGAATAACTAAACGAGAAAAAAGTTACGTCCCAAACAAGTCAATCTCTGTTTGGCAACGCAGAATCAACAAGATTATAACTTCTTCATCATAAGGGTCATGCTCTGATCTGTAAAACAGTTTTCATTGACATGCTGGGTCTTGGGTCGAGACTTGCCCTCAGGAAACTTGAAGTCAAACTCATAGAGAAGACGAGCCATGATGAGCTTGATCTCAGCAACAGCAAACTGCCTACCCGCGCATGCTTGATTGCCGTAGCCAAATGCCAGGTTGTTAGGGTGGGTCATGCCAGCTTTGTGCAGATCTAGCTGGTCAGGGGCCGACATACGCTTGCGATAATTGCGCATGGGATCAAAGTCTGCGGGATTAGAATGAACATCGGGGTCCATCGAGTGCTCGTAGTTAGCAAACGCAAGTCGTGACCCAGCAGGAACGATCGTGCCATCCTTGAGTTTGATGTCCTGGTAAGCCAGCCGTTGCGGATTGACTGATATATGTGCAATGGCTATGTCAGTGATACTAGTTTCTGAGATAACGAGACAGAGGGATAAAGAGATAACCCACGGAGGAGGACGGGGTTGTGTCTTTGACTTTCGACGAAAAAGCTGTCGAGCTTGTCCAGTCGTGTGCACCACTCCTTTGCGCTAACATTCGGAACCTGGCCAGGGGGTCCCAGTTCGTTGGAGATCTCCATGACTTCTTCTCTCAAGACTTCAATCCACTTAGGATAAGCGCATAGGTCGTAGATCATATTTGACACACTCGAAGCAGTCGTGTGAATACTGGCGAGGGTTAAGACACATTGACGGGCACCCATCTCATGCACTTCGACTTCACTCGGCGTGCCATGATCCAGCATCCAGTTGAGAAGTGTATCCTCTTCTTCGACCTCTTCACCCATTTGCCTCTTCTCTTTTACAACGTTGTGCTGCTGTGTGAGCACGCCAACAATCCTTCTGCCGGCCTTCAATTGACGGAAAGTGCGATATCTAGCAGGAATAAGTCGAGCGACCAGGCCATACATCCAAGGTGGAAACATTTTGATCGTGAATGCCGTGGTAAATAAATCCACAGAGAAATCGACTGAAATTTTCAGCCACTCCGGATCCCGACATGTCGGATTACCCATAAAGACCTTGGCAGTCATGCGTGCAACAAGCATCCGTAAATGATGCTCGATAGGGATCTCAGTCCAATCTAAGATTTAGGTTTCGTATGTTAGCGATTGGCCCCCAGAGTAATACACGCATCATTTACCATGATTGTGAGGTAGATCACGATGCCAGCCATAGGCTAGTTCCTCTTTGGCCTTGTTCACATAGTCATAGAGCTCAGGTGTGAGTTTCTTCTTAAGAACGTCAAGGTGGAGGTTGGAATGGAACAGAAACTGCATCGATGTGTACTCTGGAGCAAGGTTCTGCCAGAAACTCTTAGTAAATAAGGACATGATCTCACTGGGATTTAGTTTGGACTCACTCCGGTCTGTGCGCCTTTGCTACTGAGCTTGGATGGAGCTATGAGGCGTATTTCCTCCAGATACTTCATCGGTAGAACCAGAAAGTTTACGTCATATCGACGGAGCACGAATGGTTGGTTCTTCATCTGTCACTGTGTGAGGAAATTATAGTCATTGAGTGCCGGGTCGGCCTGCGTTATCATGCTCACGGTTATGTACGCTCTATGGATGATGTCACGAGCACCCATGATAAATCGACTTTGCAGAACGATGTCAGGCTCTAAGAAAGAACGATGCCCAAACACAGGAGCTTCGGGAAGCTTTCTTTTCGGTGTCAAGAGCTTAAAGATGATCCATGCTATTATCAGCAGTATGGCCGCTAATTTAAGACTATCAATACTTTTCAATTCAGAGTTCGAGAAGAAAGGCAGAATCTCAAACCCGATAACTGGGGACAACCCAGATGAAAAGTAATCCAAATTGATAAACATGGTGATGGTTATCCTTCCAGTGAGAGAATTGCTCGCTTGAGGAGCCTTAGAAGGTGGAGACAAGGTGCTTGGAATTGAGCAAAAAAAGTGCCGGGGACTCAATAAATTTGAAAATGCATAACATTTCGTTGAACAATGACCTCAGGATCTCTCTAATAAGCGATGAACCTCTGTGTGATTCGTAACCAGACTAGTATCTGTTACATATAGAGTATCATCATTGTATTCTATGGAAGGGACGGATGATTACCGGACGTCGATCAGCGGCCGTGCATGCCAACGCATATGGGCATACTACTGTTGACAAATTGCTTCAAATGACAACGAGCTAAACCTCTTCTAGAATGGCCCCCACAGTGTAGCTGACCAACTTTACCACCTGGATGACCAACATGATACGTAACGAGGTGATCAACATCCTTAGCGCCAAAATCGAGTCAGCCACCTTTTCACCCGGGCGCAGGTAACTTTTCGGTCCAAAAACGGTATCTTCCAATTAAACCTTAGATTTACCAAACCGTGTTTACCAATCGGTTCGCAGCCCAAAGCGGGGTTCAACGATTGTTGTGTTTCCACAGGTGGATACAGGACGGTGCCCCGCTATACACAACTGCATGCATACCAAAACTGAGACGCGAATTTTGACCAGACTAAGTGTGCCGTTTTTCCGACCCTTGAAAGTGCAACATAGTCAAACCTGCATGGTATATATTTTAGAGGCGTAATAATAATGTTGAAAACCTACCTTTCTCAGACTGTGGGGCCAGTCAGGCCAAATGATAGAGCATTAGGAACATATAGCTCTGCAGGACTACTGGGAGACACAACAATTCGTAAAATCGTACACTTTGACGTGCAATAAATTGGCATTGATACATTTGGTGTATATGTGTTCTTAGTACTATAGTCTATGTTAAGTGTTTTCTTTATGTCTCCTAGAAGAACATATCGAAGATTACAGCAGCATTGGCTCATAGATTTTATCATATATGGCGCTGGAAGGGGGTAACTATGGTCTACTTGATGTTTTGAAAAGCCAGATATTGTTAAAAAAAAAGGCGCTTCTTTTTGGATTGATAGCTAAAATAGGATTGTCGACGAAGCCGATAGTACCTTCAAAACCATTGCTGAAGATTCACTAATTCCTTCAACCAGACGCTCTTACCGGTTTTAACGGTATCATATTCGCCGCAGATGAATTCATTAACTTATACTCGTCGTCGCGCTGAGAGCGACAGTAAGCATAATTTGGGTTAGAATAGCTGTCGTGTCCCGAGGACGTAGACTTGAAGCCTGAATGTATTCTCGGTGAGAGTTTGATGCTCCACAATGACTTCACGGATGGTGCACAACCGACCATAATAGCAATAGTGCCTTCAATAACCCTATAGACAGATTAATTCATGATGTTGCAGTCTTTGTTACAAGCAGTAATTTCATGGGAATCACTTACGCGCAGAGCATGGTGGCGAGAGTGTCAGATGTCGTTCCTTGATAGGCCTTATACTTAAAGTATAAAGATACGGTGGATGCTGCAATCCCACTGCAAATAAGATATCAGCCTCCGTAAAGCCAGAACAAGAGATATGACACAACGTACAGAATACCCGAAAAAAAGACCGCACCCACAGCTAGTCTCTTCTTCCTTGGAAGGTGAAGTCTACGGATGAGCGGCATTGGAAGGAAGAATATCAACAAGTCCTCGCCCAAAGCAATGAAGCCAGAGATGACCCCTGTCAGTGTAGTTCCTGTGGTGCAAATCTCAAGATCCACGAGGGTTGCTGTAGGACCACACCTCATAAAGGTGGGCGACATTGCGCAAATGTAGACCACTCCGGAAATTGCAATGGTCGCATAACAAAGATATCTAAAGGTCTTGTTTATGCCAAAAATCTTGACATAGACCAGTAGAATCGGTATCTTCGTCATCCACAACTCGAATGCAACGATAACAGTTATGATTACTGCAAACTATGTCGATCCAATGCCAAAGTCAGAGCTGTGTCAATATCATGAACAGTATATCCAATTTCTTACATGGTTAAGCCAATTCAAAGAATCCATCGGATCAGTAAAGCCTAGGTTAGAATATTCCCAACTTTAGTGCTCGTAACTTCCAAAGTCTGAAAGAGGAAAGGAAGACTCACGTTGAATGATATAATAATTCATGGAAAACGCAATCGTGACAAAAGCAGATCCCAGGATGGAGGCATCTAGAAAAGTTTACGATAGGCGTTAGCAGACATTTGATTCCTTCCATAGTTTCATTTCATATAAGCGTATGAACGACCTACAGTCATCAAGCAGGAGCCCTTTATACACTCTGAAGTTCACCATGCACCTTACGGTCACAAATATAGCACAGATGACAATCAGAGGGGTACCAGAGGCCACGTAGGCATCGAGTGACATAGAACTCGAAGACATCCTGGCTTCGCGTTATCTGAATACTAACGATCAGAGATAAATTTCAAAGCGATCAAGTACGCAAAGGATAACTTGTAGCGAGGTTTGTTCGGTATCTAAAATAGACGGACCGCCTGGCGTTGCATCCCATCAGCTGGGGCTGAAAAACGCACCTTGGGGCCGCTAAGACCCTTGGAGGGTTTGTTCACTGCAGAACCTCCGAGTAGAGGGGGCGGTTTTCATTCCATACAATCAAAAATGTTTGTATGAGATGATCTTTCTAGCCGAAAAATATATTACTAGCGCGTTTTAGCAGTAGACATTTTAAACCAGCCGCTCATATTCAAAAACGGATGTGGGGAGAAGTAGACTTTACTAGGCAGAGGGGATGACGTGGAGCTGAAATATTTTCCTTCTTCGACTTTTTGCCAGTCGAGTCTAAAATTAAATGAGGTCAAGCCCAAAATGGGAGCTTTGGGCTTTGGCGACTACAGCACTGCACTGGCTTGAAAGAAAGCCTCTGTAGGTTAGATTGACTACAGTATCTTGCCACCTAACTTACGGAGATTTCATCATACACCAAGATCATCACTATTGTAACCATATGTTAAGATTAAGGTATAAAGTTGATGGTATAGGTTTAGTTTCCATAGGGGGTATTTTGGTTATTTCAAAATGGCCTGACTAGCCATGCCGGGAAAGCAGCTTTGCTTTCGTAAGTTACGTGGCTAGACACTCTGCTGCATGCACATATGTGGGCTCTGGTTACTAATTAGCCCCCCTAGTACCCTTGCTCTGAGACACTCAGAGCTGGCCCAGTTTAATCTTGCTGGCATGGTCTATTAAGAATAGCGTCTAGCAGCGCCACCTGATCTTCCGAGTCAAAGAGGACACTGTATTGGAGCTCTTATTCTGGTCTTCTCAATACCAGCTTTTATAGTAATAGCGCATATAAAGAACGCTGAAGATTTTTCTTGGCCCAGCTGGTAGCATTTATCCACCAGGAGTAGATATCAGGAGTAAAAAAGAGTAGTTGAAAGATATGAATTTGTGACAGCCAAATAAAGCAGATTGCTCAAATTCAAAAGCCCCCGAGCTCTTGGGAACAAGAACCACTAAATGTTGTCACGTAAGAGAAAGCCTCCGTGCTGCAGCTTCTGGAATACCCGCTCGGGATCGTATTTGGCTGCGGTCTCTTGCATTCGCTCCAAGTTATCGGCTCCATAGCTACGAAGTACTTTCTGAGAGGCGGTCGCAAAGCTCATGCACTTGAAGTCAAGCAAAACTCCCTTTTCCTTAGCCAATGACTGCACAGCCTCGGTCATCGTGGCCACTGCCATTTGCGCGGCGGCATCATCGCTACCCTCTTGAGGCCACTCGCAGGTAAATACCCACCCTATGGGTTTGGCATATGTTAGTTCTCTCATTTCTTAAACGTCTTGTTTAACTAGAAACAACATGTGTCGTTGTAATCAGGATATAAGATGTACTCACAGCATTGTGGAACACTCTCATGGCCCATAATATTTCCTCCACGATCCTTTCCTGCCTGGACGCCAGCCTTACCAAACGGCTGGATAGTATAATGCAGGACTGCGTCAGTCGGGAGGGTCTTGCAGATTTCAGTCCAGGACTTATAGACATCCTCGTAGAGCTCCTGCGATACCTTAGTAGTCATAGTGCAGATGGTCCGTCTATCACATATGTTAGTATAAAGCATCATTTTCCTCCTCGACCTGACCGTTTGCGTATTTACGTCTCACTTACTTCTTGGCCTCCTGTTTATGACCCATTGCTTGGGCCAGTGACAAGAGAGTGCCATTTGTGGATGGTAGAACTGTTGTCACCAAGCTATCAAGGTCATAAAAAGGCTTAAAAGCCGTAGGTCGCTCAGTGGGTGTGTCGCCATAGAGTAAGCCCACAGCAACAAAACCATTATTGAAATTGGTGAACAACCCGATTTTAGGGTCATTTTCCATGGCATCCTGAACCGCCACTGTAGCCTTGTTTATTGCAATATGATCCTCTGGGTTATAGAGATTGATCGTGTATTGCACGTTGATTAGTGGGTGGGTGTCAAGGTCAAATCTAGTCACAATGCCTTCTCTAAGTTAGCGGAGTCTAGATCTTTGCAATTTAGATAAAGCCACTAGAAACCAGAGAACGTACCAAAGTTGGAGCCACCACCCTTCAAAGCACAGTAAAGATCAGCGTTTTCTGTCGCATTTGCATTGACCAGTCTACCGTTGGCTAAAAGGACCTGAATATGTTAGCTATGAGTTTAGGAAAAGACTGGGCTTTTCAAGAAGACGATTTACCTCGAAATTCCGAACTCCATCAGCGCCTAGTCCATGTAGATGGGGCAAAGCTCCCATGCCACCTTGAGCGACTTATTAGTTTTAAAGCACTAGTCACACTCTTTATCTATAGTAGATACTTACCTCCTAGAAGGAAACCTCCTAACCCGACCTGCTGGTCTCGACCGCCAATTGCTGACAGCTTCTGTTCCTCCAGCCAGGCATACACCTCACCCCAGGTGTTTCCCGATCCAACTCGAGCGACACCGTCTGAGCCCAGCTCCTTGTTCTGAAGCTGGCGGATATCCAAAACGATGGCTGTCTCATCTGCGCTGCTAAAGCCCGCGTTGGGATTATGGCCGGTGGTACGGATGGTGAACTTAGATCCTGTTTTTTTGATAATCTCCAGTGCTTCAGTGAGCTCTTGAGCGTCTCTCAAATACACATAACCGGCAGCCGGAGTCCAGCACGTCTGCGACCAGGGAACTACCATCGCTGCCTGGTACTCAGATCCAGCATCGGGAGTAACCACCCTGTCGCTGAAGACCGTCTTCAATCGGTTAAATGCTGCTGCTCTGCTGGAAGCCATACTGGGTAGATGATTGATTAGACAACAGAATTTGTGGAATAATGATCAATGATGGCAGGTTGTTTGTGCTTTTATGTTCTGAATCAGCTACGCTTGGGTCAGCTGGGGTGGAGACGCGTGGGTTGAAGCGGAGTCGCTTTCTTTGTTTTTTTCAAAAGTCCTAAGATCCCTGTCCACCCAAAATTCTGAGAGAAGCAATCAAGCTCTTCGCATCGCTGTGGTAGCTGACTCGTTTCAACAATACTATATTACCGCTTGTGACCCATTGCACTCAGCTTGTACTTGAGAACGGTACATGCGAATGACATTCAGAATCAGGATCGAGGCGTGAGGGGCAGATTACCTAAATTGCCTCATTGAGCTCAAAGGATCGATACCCCTGCAGCAGCCCAACGCCGTAAAGACACGGTGAAGGCAATTAGCCGGCCCCACACACCCCAGCATATGCACTTTGAAAGCAAGAAGCAGGAGGGGTCACAGACTCAAAATTCAAACCTCGGTCGCGCGAGATTGGGACCCGAATAAGTAACCGCGCGTCATCGAATGCAATGCAATGCAATGTAACCACATTAAAATAGCCCCCAACAGGTCAATTTGATAGTGTCCACATTGCATCGAGCCAATGTCGATCATTCCCCATCCTACTTACTATTGTCGTAAAGTCAGAACTTAATGATGTCAGGTGGAGATTGAGAGAAGGTATGTACCATACAGCATCTGGTCACGTAACTTATAACAACGAAGCCCTCCTGCATAACTAGTCAGGCCATTTTGAAATAACCAAATACCCCAATAGCCAATGACTATCTAGACTAAAGAAATGTATAGCATTAATGACCGTTCAATTGACAAGTACGATAGTGATAGGTTCTAGCGTGTCATGAAAAGTTTCATGAACTAGGTGGCCAGATACTATAGTGGGGGGCTGTTTGAGCAAGTTTGTCGATTCCAAGCTCCCCTACAGAAAAGATCAACTGCATGGGACGTGTTTCCTTTCACACAGGATAATTGGGGCTGAGGCTAAGCGGGGGTTTGATCGCGTATTCCAAATCTGGAAGGTTTAGTTTGCAAAATCGCAGCCTATAATTTCTGGACCTATCGATTGGTCGAGATATAACATCGATAGGACTATAAATGTAACTCCTGTACGAACGGGCTCCCACAAAGATCAATACAAAACCAGTTCTTACTCTCTCATTCAATTGATCTGTCAATAAATCCTTGATACATCCTAAAGCGCCATAATGGAAGACAAAGCGAGAAATATAGTCACCCGTCTGGCAGAATCTCTGGATACTGTCTATCATGGATTTAGCTCCATGACTCCAACGGTCTATGATACGGCGTGGTTGTCCATGGTCACCAAAAAGGAGATTCGTGACGAGGTTAAAATCACATATTGGCTCTTCCCGGAGTGTTTCCAGGCTGTGCTGGAAGACCAGTCTCCAGACGGGGGATTCTGCCCCAATGGTGCGCACGTTGATGGAATTCTAAGTACAATGGCGGCGGTTTTAACGCTCTACCGGCACCAGAAATATCCCCTTATCCAGAATTGCTCACAGTCTTCTTCTGATTTGCAGGAAAGAATCAGCAAAGCGTGTGCGTACTTGGACCAAGCCTTAAAGGTGTGGGACGTGAAGTCGACCGTGCAAGTAGGCTTTGAGATTCTCGTTCCCAGCCTGCTATGGTTGCTCGAAAGAGAAGGGATAAGCTTCAACTTCCCTGGGCGCAAAGCCCTCATGGCTCTTCACCGGCAGAAAGTGAACAAGGTGAAGCCAGCCGTGCTTTACACGCATCATAAAACTACACTGTTGCATTCGCTAGAAAGTTTCATTGGTAGTTTAGACTTCGACAAAATGTCGCACAGTCTCAGCTATGGGTCGATGATGGGCTCATCATCATCCACTGCCGCATACTTGATGAATAATTCCGACTGGGATGAGGAAGCAGAAAAGTATTTGCGATTTGTCGTTGCAACAACCAAGGGAAGGGTTCCTTCTGCCTTTCCTATCAGCGTATTTGAGGTCTCATGGGTAAGATATTGCCTCTATTTCTAATTCTCTTATGTGCAAATGATGGCTGTTAACAATATTGGCACCAGGTTCTCTCAACCTTGCTGAGGTCGGGTTTTACAGTAGATTCTCTTGGAACAGAAAACATTTCAAAGATGGCAAATTATCTTGAAGCCCAATTGGAGGAAGGCAATGGAGTCACTGGCTTTGGTAAAGTCTTCCATTGGCGCGTTTCAATTCTACGTGGTCGCTAATAGACTTTGAAAATATAGCCCCCGGAATGCTTGCTGACGCAGATGACACTGCAAAAAGCATTTTCTCTCTCGAACTTCTTGGCCGCGCTACTAACTGCGACGCCATGTTTAAGGCGTTTGAGAGTTCTAGCCATTTCAAAACATACAATTTGGAGACAAATGAGTCTTTTAGTGCCAATTGTAATGTGACTATCGCGCTTCTTGGATCAAAAGACCCATCCCGGTATATCCCACAGATCTCAAAAGCGATGGAATTTCTCTGCAACGCGTGGGAAAATGGACAATGGAGTGATAAATGGGTAAGCACGCTCAGCCATGCCTACATTAGATGTTACAAGCCGGTCACAACACTAACTGAAATGCAGAACATTGAACCTCAATATGCCATGATGGTTTTTGCAGAAGCTCTTTCAAGTGCTATCGAGCACTGGAATAATGGGTCCTTGCAGGGCCTTGATCCCAAGCTTCTTGGAGATCATGTTCCTCTGATCACTCTGCAGATTGCCGTCCGTACTCTGAGCTCACAATCTGATTCTGGAGCGTGGAAAGAATCTGCAGAGATAACAGCCTATGGGTTGCTGACTCTGAAAGCACTATCCAATTTGCCTTGGGTGAGAATAGGGGTGGGCTGCAAAGTTAACGAAAGCATCGACCTAGGCTCCAATTATCTGCACGCCAATAGCGACAGCTGGACCACTCCTGCCATGATCTGGGTCGAGAAGGTAAATTTTGGCTCAGCTGTCCTTTCGGAGACCTATTGTTTAGCTGCTCTCAAGGCAATTCCCTCCACTTCCAGCTGGTCCGAAGCCGTCCTGGAGCTGTGTAATATTCCCTCAAAGAGGCTCGACCACTTTTGCTTGTTCTTTCAGCATCTGCCCATTTTCAAAGAAGAGCCTACTTGGAGGCTCCGGGCCTCAGTCGTCGAAGGCTATTTGCTAGCACCCACTTTACAGCGTGCCACACTTGAGCTTGACATCTTCCCTCGGGTGGAGGGCAAGTATCTTGAGTACATCCCTTTTACGTGGACGACATGCAATAACGCGGCCAGCTTTGGCCTCTCAACACAGACTATCATTGAGATGATGGTCATCTCGCTGCTTAATTTTCAAGTTGACAAGTGGTTTGAGGACACGACGGAGGATACGCGCCTTCAAGGCGATTTGCAGGCTCTCAAAGCCACCATCAGACAGCTCTTTAATGAGAACATGGAAGAGCGTAAAAGGCCGATGCAGTCGACTTGTCATCAAAAGCACCGCCAGCTATCAAATGACAAAGCGACACATGGCCATGATTTTGCCAATACTCAGATGAATGGAAACGGCACATTTGATTTAGCAGCGGATAGCGATGGAAAGACCTCTTTGCTCGTTGAAGCGAAGATCACACTCTCCAATTTCGTCAGATATGTACTTGGAAAGGTATCAGCTGCTTCAACGCCAGATCACCTGCGTCGGCGAGTCCGACATGAGCTATACATCTTCCTCCTAGCACATGTCACGCAGGGTGAAGATAATGTGCGGCTAGCCAAGTCCGACATGGAACAACAGACTTCATATGCATTTGCCTCGACAGGCACATACTATGACTGGGTACGGACCACCTCAGCAGACCACACCAGCTGCCCGTACTCATTTGAGTTTTTCCGTTGTTTGGTGTCCTCGTCGGCCTGCAAAGGTGTAGATTGCTTCTCTGGAGCCCGCGCCCAGTATCTAGCCCAGGATGTCTGCCGTCATTTGGCCACCATGTGCCGGCAGCACAATGATTATGGATCCATCGTCCGTGACCGCAAAGAGAAAAACCTCAATAGCATCAATTTTCCTGAGTTTCACCTTCTAGAGACAGAAGGAGAAGCACATGAAGACCACAAAGCTAAACAAGCGTTATTGGAGATAGCCATATACGAGCGCGAGTGCCTCCAGCTTGCTGGCAAAAGGCTGTCTTCTGAGGTGACCAAGTCTACATGGAAAGCTTGGAGAGTTTTCATTGACGTGACTGACCTCTATGGTCAAATCTATGTAGTAAGAGACATCAATTCGGGGGGCCGCGAGTAGCTTATTTGACTTCAAATCAAACATACAATCATCTTCTAGAACGGCACCGAGTGGTACAAAGAGATCTTTCCAATGGCCCAAGAAGACATTGTCAAATTAATATCTCACTATCCTCTATCATGGCAGTTCAAGCCAGCTGATTAAGACTAAAAGGTTACATTGCTGGAGGAGAAATAAGGTAGCCTGGGAAGGACCTCTCTTCATAAATCGCGTGTAGAGCACGTAGAAAAATACAGTTCGAGCACTATCTACATATTAATAGGCCCTCGCATAACTGCGCGAGCGAAAAAATTTCTCAGCCAGAGAGTATGCAGCTTGACCAACAAGCCAACATGACTACCAAAGTAAAAGATTTACCATTCCCCCGATGAGATGGTCAAATCAAATTCGCATTTTCTGCCAGAAATTGATCCACAGATGTCAGAGAGAGTCCTTTGATCTTTCCAGCGGCATCTCCCGCTGGCACTTGGTTTGCCCATTGATGCGCTGCTGGCACAGGACTTCCTCCCTTGATCATTTCTTCCACTTCCTCTTTCGACAAATAATGAACCTTCACATCCATTCCAAGTGCCTTGCTTAGCTTTGCACCCAATTGTTCGACAGTAAGCGCCTCGGTAGCAAGGTCTATTTCCTTATGAGTATAGCTCTCTGGATCTGATGCCGCCGCTGCCGCCACAATGCCCACATCCCCCGCATCGACCCATGGAAGCTTTGTATCCGGCCTCCACGAAACGCGTAAGACCCGGTCGTTTTTGAAGCCGGGAAAAGTGATAGCGCTCAAGGGGAATATTAGATTTTGCAAGAAGTGGCCCAGACGTATAATCGTCCAGTGTGGGTATTCAGCGTCACGGACCCGACTCTCAAGGGCATGTTTGTTCAGCCAATACTGTCGCATCGGATGTTCAGGCCCCCAGCCCGGAAATGACTCATGTTGGCCTGTTTTGATGGCCGTTGAAAGAATGAAATTGGACACTGTAGCCGAGGTACGCGCTGCCTCGATGACATTATTGCTCCGTTCCAAGTCCCCAGCCCAGTCCCCTGTCTGCACCTCTGTATGAAATACCGTGTCTATACCCTGCGAGGCTAGACGCAGAGCTTCAAAATCATCCAGATCCCCAGTGACAAGTTTGGCTCCCGATTTCTCAAGCTGAATCGCCGCAGGTGAATTGGGATTGCGTACGTATGCATATACTGAGTGCCCTGCAGCGAGGCAATGGTGCACGACACCTTGGCCTTGGTTGCCTGTAGCACAGGTGACAAGTACTCTCTTTTGTGGGGACATTGATTCCTATACTGAGCTAAAGGAACAATTTCTTCATGTGATCAGTTGCAATAATTTATGAAAAGCAAAGTAGCACCAGGAGAAGGTTGTTTGTTCTAACTTCTCAGGAAGAATTCCTACTAATGACTAAGGGAGGGGCAATGCCGCTTACCCGGTCCCCGCTGACAAGAATACAGATGTCATAGGCGACATGCGTGTATCGTTACTAGTATGCTAGTCTCTACTGGTGTACGGCATACAGTAATGTTTATCACAATCAATCTACTTCAGGTAGCATGCCTTCTGCTACGAGCTTCCCGTCTTTGGTTGGTTGATCACATAGGATTACGGGTAAGGGATTGGAGAGATTGGACATGCTGGATAGTTGTGGAAAATATGATTGAATATTTAAGTAGTAAATTATGAGAATCTCAAGTTGTTAAGGGAGTATAATACCTAGGCCACTCTACGTACAATATTTCTGCTATTAGGTGGGGCTTTCCTTTCCTAGCTACCGCCGCTTTAATGAGGGGGATCAGAGTCAGGCTCACTGAGTATCTTACAGACCATGCTCAGGGCTTGTGATCGTGTCATGTCGGCATATATTAGATGATGTAAGCTACCTAGATCACATGATATTAGTAAGCACACACATAAGGTGCGTGCTTGGAGATAGCAGAATGGACAGACAGACACATATACTCGAGGGGACACCCATTGGCCGCTGTTCCACCGCCTGATTACGTATACGGACATGTCAGTGTCATCACGTGAGATATTAGTAATCACTCAGTAGGCCTGATCATCTGATCACCCGCTCACGGCCCACGCAGAGATTGATCTAAGTACTTTATGCACCTAATCTAGTCTCTGACTAAACTAAACGTGGCGATATGCCCCGTAAGATATTTTAGTCTTTTTGATGGCCCTGTCACCACTCGTCTGCTTGAGGTTCTCGATCCTTCACCACCCCTCACTTATATAGAATAACGCGCAATAGAGCGTAATGACCCGCAAATTAGAAGACACCCTTTATTTGATATGCCAAACCTAATGCCAATATAGACTATTTTATATTGGGAATTACTCCGACATATCTCTGTTAACGCGGCAAGTATTGATTTTTACAAAGATGACATAGCACCATAGGATATGTATTTGCTTTTAATTTCAAACCATCAGACACCTTTGTCACACTTCAAACCCCAAAGGACATATGCCATAAGGTAGAAGCATGAAGCGCTCTAGAAGTTCCGATAGTCCGGTGCCCAGCTCGAACGTTTTCTCACCAACAAAGGTAGAATCTTTGCTCGTCGGAACACATCTCGAGTCCCAGGAAGTCGACTTTGACCGCTCACCGCCATACTGCAAAGGGCAGAATGGGCTGGCCGAACGCACGAATCGCACTATTTAGGAGCGAAACACGCTCCTGTCCGATGCGAACCTTCCTTCTTCCTAGTGGACTGAGCTCTTAGACATTGTGGTCTATCTGAACTGCCGCGCTCTAACCAAAAAAAAAAAAAAAAAAAAAAAAAAAAAAAATGTAAGCCTAATACCCAATGATCATTCCAAGAGCATGATAGAGGAGATCGTGAAGAGTGAGAATATTTAAAGAGATTGATACAGTAGGACTTAGATGGTTGATAGATTATTTGTACGCACTGGTAGCCAATTGTAACCCCAACTTCTACTGTACATGCAGACCATCTTCCACAAATTGCCTAGTACCTTCCGTAGGAGCCTTCCAGGCCACACGGTCCTTAGTAAACTGCTCCATAGTGGGTCTCAGTTTAGTCTCGTGCAAAGAGAAATCATCCACACTGCCAACGCGCAGAATACTCATGCCCGGGAAGGCTGCACCGACGCGGTACATGAGAGAACCGCAAGTGGAACAGAAGTAGTTGGTCATGGTGTTGTCCTTGCCAGGAGTTTTGAAAAACACAGTGCGCGACTGGCTATATGTCTTCAAGTTGTCGCGGCCACGCAGATGTTTCAAGTGCGTGTCATAGACCGTGAAGTTAGTCGCATGCACGGATGCCGTAAGTTTGTGGCAGTCAGAGCAGTTACAGACGAAGGAGCCAAGATAGCCAGGTCCATGGGTTGGCTAGGAGGTGAGAGCCGCTGTTAGAGTAGCACAAAAACAAGAGCAATTTCGCAATCTATACTTACGAATGCCAGTTGCACCGCGCCACAAAAGCATGTGGCTGTCGCTTCATCCTCCGTAGACCAGCCATCATCAGCGCCTCCAGCAAGAGGAAAATACGGCTTCGACTTATCAATGGTGGGAGATGTCATGGTTTCGTTAATTCTGTGACCACGTGATAATAGTTATGGAAGATGATAAGCTTGTCGAATATCTTAAAGACAAAGGCCTTGTGGCTACAAAAAAGGGCTTTATATACTTGCGAAGGAACGGAATCCCGCGTGATTTTTTCCGTCTTATCTCACGTCATTTTCAGCCACTTTTTGATGAAATCCCAGCGCTCGCTAACCAAAGGTAGTTAATAATCGAAGGTTAAGAAATTCAATTCATAGGCCAGGAATGTCATAGCTAGTCAGATTATTCAGCTCCCGTCTATATGATCTAGAACCTGTACAATATCCCTCAATTAGTCCCCGAGAAGCACATCGATTCTATTTATTATAAGCAACATGATAATCTGTGATTCCTTCAGGGCTCGTGCGACCACCTTACTTGGCCAGTCGGGACAATTATTAAGCCTCTAATTGCGCATCTATATTTTCGCAAAGATCTCCGATGTCTTTTAGATGATTTGATCCAATGCGGACCGTGCCAATAATCCAGTTAGGTAAACTTGGCTGCCGGGCTTCGCCTAACACATAGAAATCTCCAGTAGCCTCTAGGCGAGTAAAGCGCACCATCGCGAACAATGCGGGTGTCAAAAATGTCGTCGAGTGCAGACTTTTAATAAATTTTGCCAATACATCCTTTTGCTCCCGCCAGAGTGGAGCCAGAGCGGGACAGAGTGACAAGGCCTTGTCATGAATCATGATTTAGATTAACATGTCGAAAACGGTCCGCTCAGAGAAGAATTATACACATCTCATACAGGGGCATTTTTTCAAAATAGAATACTATAGGTCGTCGAACTGAGTACTAGTGATTCCGGATCCAAAAAGTATTTTCCCGTTAATGTTGAAGGCCGTGTCTTAAGTAGCTTAAATATACAATACTCCGATGCCTTCACTAGGGCTTTATCATACTAGGAAACTCCTTATCTACTAGGAAACTCCTTATCTACTAGGAAACTCCATATCTACTAGGAAACTCCTTATCTACTAGGAAACTCCTTATCTACTAGGAAACTCCTTATCTACTAGGAAACTCCTTATCTACTAGGAAACTCCTTATCTACTAGGAAACTCCTTATCTACTAGGAAAGGTCCTTTCCGAAAGGATAACGGCGTGACGGCGTCCTAGGAGTTTGATAAGTCCTAGAAACTATGTAGGCCAGTCTCTAAGCGGCAATCACTAAGCAAAGGCTACTAGTAGTATATCCGAACTATCTGGACTAATTTTCTAGGGGTTTCATGAGTAAGATTGCTGGACTCTCACTGATTGGAGTTCTAAACGCTCTATAGGTCTGCTCACGGCCCTGTTGAGAAATGTGTAATATGTACACAATATAATTTGAAGAGAAAATACTTCTTAGGAACTGCCGATCCTAGGAGGTCACATTGAAAAGAGGGGGAAAAGATGAACCTTGCATTTTCGCGCGTACGTTGACGTAAGTAGTTTTTGAGGGGTCAATTCCTTTTGGGGCTTAGGAGGCATTTTATTGAGGCTTGACAAACGGCAGAAAAATGCGTGCCACTGCCATGGGTCACGTGAACCGTCCGATCAGATGCCGATCAATAAAACCGAATGATTACTTACTTAGTAATCTCATAATAACTAAGTTAACTAAGTTAGTCAAGTTGACGTTACTCTGTGACCAGATCAGATGGCCTGATCATACGATGACTAAGCATAGCAGAACGTCCGCAGCATGCTTAGATCTACGTAGTGCGCAAAAGCGGCGAGAGGGATGAGCACTAATACGGAAAGGGAAACCAAAAACCATTAGCAGAAATCTGATACTTAGGCGAGAAGAGGAGAATAATAGTATTAGATAGAATATTCCAAGACTAATTCTTGAAGAAAAGAAGGGGAGAGTCTATACTCTCTTTCCTTTCGAGTGGGATTCGTAAGCGATTCGCATGCATATCGGGAGAGGTAAGGTCGCCATACATCGGTACCCAACTCCATGCCTAACGACAAGGCATCCTTAACTTTCCCATAACACAAGTAAATATATGTCCGTTGGTTCTCTCCGATTTGGACTTCTTAAAGGATCCCTCCTGCTAAATTCTATATGACCTCGTTTCTCGCCATGGTTAGTTCGCGACGTCGACTCCCTTGAACTTTTTATCTCTGTGGCTATGAATAAGTTAGCCGCCATAGGTCTACCTAGGAGTAGGCGGAGTATATTAAGATTACCTGTCCTTATACACAGCGTGGTCTTTCAGAGCTATAAAGGCGAGCTTACTAAGGTATACATGTGGAAGTTTTAAAGAGTTGAAATCTATTTAGAGTTGACTGAGTAATAATTGCCTGGTGATATAAGAACGTGTGATTAATTCACTATCATAAGCTCGATTCCTTAGTGAATAGGGAGTAAAGGTAGTTGTTGGCCTCCTGAGAGTAATTTACTGGATGTGTCTCTCTGAATCTATGGGAATTTAGATTTAGAATGGTATTTTAATGGCAAGAAATACGTGTGGAATAGTTTTTGGGTGCTATAATCGAGGACTATAGTCTCTATCAAATGCTGCTTCGATTTTTAAATCTAGGAGAGTCTAAAATTGACGACGAAGAAATAACGAAGGAGCGCTATATAATAATTGCTGAGCTCCTAGGATTGATGCGCCTTAATTATAATCCTAATGTAAACGATTCTTGGTTCCTGGGACCTTCTGTTAAGACAGAGTATACTTGAGCGAATTACTTACTAGGAGTACTTAGGGTTATGGAGGTAAGCCATAGAGAGTAACGAGAATGAATGAGCAAAGCTGAGTATTTCTAGGAGCGAAACGCTAGATAGAAGCTAATAGGTCATAAATCTTAACTTTGCCTTTTTCTTTTCTGTATTACTACTACTAAATTATGACATGACGTGTTTATGTGGAATAAGCCATTCGTCTTTCGATAGAACATTGGACGTTTAATTAAGTCATAAGGGCTTTCGCGTAAAAGCAGTGGACTGTATTTTATTTAAGGTAGCTCAAGCGTGCCACTGGCTACTATGGTTTGCGCTTAGTGAGCGAATCACACCACTCAGGGCAGGCTCAGTGAGTAAGCGGCGAGAGGGTGAGCAATAATCCGGAAAAGAAAGTCAAGAATCGTCAAAGAAAACCCGGTATGTAGGCTATTCAAACATCATGTGTGTAATGCAATATGCTCTTTTGGTATCCAACGCCATGCACTTTGCGGTATAAATCAAATGCAACAAATAAGCGAATCAACCGCAGCTTTCTCCCCTATCTTTGTTCAACACTTCGCTTCTCTTCTAAATTAGCAAGCTCTGGCTCAGCGCGGGACGGAGGCATGGACGATTCCGCAAGGGTCGACGACATCGAATGTCGCTTCTCGACATTCTCCTCGACCTCGTGATTCTCAGGTTCATGAACTTCATGGAGAGCCGCCTCAGCATCCCTAGCAGCTTCCTCGGCCTTTCGCTTCTCCTCTTCAATCTCCTCAGGATCCTTGACTCGCTCAAGACCCCGATCACGGACAAGAGCGCATGTGAGGAAACACACGCCAATCAGGGGAACCTGAAGGATGAAAACGGAATGCGATGCCTTTGAGTATGAAGATAGAATCTCATTCCACTCCTCCGCGCTGACATTGGACTGGGAAGGAATCGAATAGGTCGATTCTGCGAGGTAGGAGAGTTGGCTGGGCAAATTTGAGCGAAGAGTCGCCTGTAAAAGTGCCGCCGAAACGGCAAGGCCGACGGAACCACCCATACAGCGGAAGAAATTGCGGTTGGAAATGGACACGGCACGTTGAGACTTTGTGCAGTGGGCTTGCAGGGCGACTAGAGTTGGCTGGAAGGTGAAGCCAATTCCGATGCCGGTGATACCGACGATGACGGCGATGACGGCTGGGTGGGTATGGCGACCAAATAGTAACATCAGACCGGCGCCCCTGGGAAGAAAAGATTAGATTTTACGAAAGAAAGGGAATATCAAACTTTGACTTACAGTGTCCAGAGTCCAAATCCAACCCAGATAATCTCGCCATAGCGCTTAATTCTGGAGATGTATTGTCCCGAGCAGACGGATGCAATTGACTGGCAGGTAACCATGGGAGCTGTCAGGGCAGCGGAGACAATAGGATCCCAGCCTCGTCCGTTTTGGTAATAAAGAGGCAAATAGTAAAGGTACGCCTGGTAAACCGCTCCCAGTAAGAAGCTCTGCAAGAAGAGAGCTGTAATGACTCGGTTCTTGAAGAAAGCCACTAAACAATAATTAGTATAACTCACTCGACCCGAGTATTTGAAGGTTGAGACATACTTGGCAACATAGGCAGCGAAGCCACCTTCCATTCAATGAAGATGAAAGCAATAAAAGATACTCCTCCAATCACAAGCATGCTGATGACCATCGCAGAGTCCCATTGGAAGTAAGAGCCACCACCAGAGATAGGAATCAACAAGAAGATAATACCGACGGAAGAGGCGAGCACGCCCCACCAGTCAATGCGTTTAATGTTATTCCAGAAGTCGCCCTTTTTGGCATTATTTGGAATGAGAAAATATCCAACCACAGCGGAGCAAGCAGCTAATGGAGAAATAAGCCAGAAAAAGCCACGCCATGTTGAATCCATGATGAATGCAGCCGCAATGAACGGACCGATCACATTTCCAATCCCAAGTGCAGCACCTAAAATACCTTGATACTTTCCACGCTGTTCCAGAGTAACAACATCGGAGACAATAATCATAGTCAGAGATGTGACACCACCACCAGCGACACCGGCCAGACCTCGAAAAACATAGAACATGGCTGGGCTTACTGATAGACCGCAGCACAAATCCGCAAGACATAGTAACACCAAAGCGGAGATATAGATAGCCTTGCGACCAAAAATATCAGATAGTCGACCGTACAGCACAGTGAACATAGTGTTGGCAATCAACGATGAAGTACCAGCCCAGGAAATAGTATCTTCAGCACCCAGGTCGCGTGCAATAGTAGGCAATGTTACACTAATACCATTCTGGTCTGACATCGTAATTAGCAATGACGTCGCCAATCCTGAGAACACAACCATGAGCTGGCTGAACGGAAGAATATTGGTTTGATCATGCAAAGCTTTCTCAGCCGCACGTTGTCGATTTGAGGCCATGTTGTGGCTAGGATGCAACAAACTGTATCCAATCAAAAATCTTTATAAGTATCAAATGTGTTGACAGGATCCATTCAAGCCAAAGTGGAGTTACAGATTGGACTCCGGAATGCTTGGCTGAAGTTTATTGTTGAAAGGTCGTTCAATCCCAATGGATTCAACTTGAATCCCGATGACCGTGAATAGTGGCGGAGATCATTCATATAAAGGGTGCAGGGTTTTTTCCATGGCAAAAGTTTAGTGCTATCCGGGCTATCGGCAAATGATATCTTGATTGGAGACTTCCGCCGCCGAGCAGGATTAGAGTCGGATATGACTCCGACAGCGTCTTTCCCCCCCATCATTTTCTCCTAATTCTGCGCGCGGTGGACAAAAATATCCAGAACCGACGGCTCAATTCCGCGTCATCTGTGCTGTGGTTGGTGAGGAGATGTGGATCCGCCACTTCGGATGTCCGAACTGTCGGACTGCCGATGGTCATTAGTCATCCTGGAGTAAATCTCATGCGATGCCCTACGCTATCCACATTCTAACGGATTTAATCTAGAGATGTGTATTGCCCTACGTTGTGGAAGGAGCTTTCCCATTACTGACAGAGCAGCATGACTCGGAATTTATCTCTCCTACGATACACATGATTTACTCTAGTGGACAACATATGAGCGGATAGGCGCAAAAGTTCCTACAGTAATTCAAGAACCTAGTAGCAGTGATTTTCAGGTTCGAGATGAACCTTACGGTCAATAAACTTCTTGATCAATTGCTTTGATTAGGCTGTTTTATTGAGCATTTCCTGCAGTTATGAAGCTATGATCACTCCTTTTTGCAAAGCGCAATTTTATTCTGTCTTTGGATGCAAGGGGCATTTTAAAAAATTGGACAGCATATTCTAGTGGTGATACTTGTTGTCAGTGGCTCGCGAATGTATATAAATTCACATGCTCGGCTACAGCCTTGATTTATATGTCCAAGCGCATTTTTCGAGTAGATACCCCGGAGTTCATCCGTTCATTAGAATTGATACTAGCCATTCCTAACACATTTCAAATTACAAGTCAAAGTGCATAGTCAAGCAGTTCCTAGCATTCCATTCCTCGACTAAATATAGTAGTTGCGCTATCGCCAGGCTCCTTACTTCTTCTGCGTCAGACGTCATGATGAGCTAAGAGGGCCAATTTGGTATGGAAAACAACCCACCAATTAACCACCGGGTTTTTACCTCATTTTAAAGGGGGCTTAAGGACATTCTTTGAACTTATATATTGCGCAGTGTCTTTTCACAACTCACAAGTTGATCTACACTTCATAACCTAGCACTGATCACTAGAGATCGCACATACATGATGGCCCACCAACCTTGTGCCTCTCAAAGAGCCTCCTCAACAAATAAAGTGCCCAAATTTGCTCCAACTGTTTCAGTCATACGCTCAGCATCATATCCTACTTTTGCCGCCGATGCTTCACAGAAGGCTACCATAACCACAGGCCTGGACGAGCGAAATCGAGATTATCGTCAACAACTCAAAGCGACTTCGACCGAGCTATTGAATGATGATAGAGTGGAGGCAAGATCTAAAGCAGGGAGGTCCCTGCAGAATGTACTTATGGAAACCGAGAGTCGTTTAAGAGAGCAGCGAAGGGCTTCTCTTCGCATGAAGGGTTTTAAATAAGCGGCGCCGTCTTTGTTGCATTGATTCAATAATTTTTTTTCGACCGGATCGTCTGATTTCCCTTGAATCAAAATTTTCAATAAAAAGATCGCATGTTGTAGTAAATTTCCATCATTGATAAATTGAAAGGTACCCGTTGCTATACTTTCCACCACAACACGGGAAAGTCAATTGATCAAAGGTGCAAGTGCTAGAAATATTGAAAGTTCGATACACTGGAATTAAATTCAGTGCGATCATCTTGCCGCCGCCAAACTAGGAAGCCAGATATTTCTAAAGTGAAATTTGCCTATCAAAGAAAACAGGAAATGACATTTAAGTAGACCAATTGTAGTACACGGACATAGGCGGAAAATCTTTTCAGTCTCGGTGACCATATTGATACCGAAGACGATCGCATTTTGCCCGTCTTGGTTAATTATTACCTTCTTGTGGAATCCACTATATTTTTGTCGCTTCTGACAGCTGAGGCTAAACGACGTTCTTGAAATTATGAGTCATCCTTCTGGGCCTCATCAACTGACCCGGGCAATGGAATTTTTATTTTACAATACCGCGATCAAGAATGCGGCAGCAAAAACCAGTGACGAGCTAACTCACTCTCGGAATACGACCTGCGCTGGTGCAACTTGGGATTGACACTTGTTTCACGGATTGCATCACTCACCTCTAGCTCAGCTACACTAATTTCTTCCGTAATGAGTCGTGGCATTTGTTTTGGAGACACTTCCCGCGGAATCCTATGTGCTCGCTTATCTCACCCGCCGCATTCTCAGGCCCTGAAATTTGATGGCTTGCCCTCGGATTTCTACAAAATGATAGCGGGTTGCGCTTTAGATTTATTCAGTCAGATAGGATGATTAGTCATTTGATCGTCGCAGAAACTTATCTTGACAAATAGCCTCACGTCGCATTCTTGGTTCAGGTACGTACCGACAGGGTAGCCTTTTGTCTTCTATGGATTTTAGGAAAGGATTATATCCATCGTAAGTCCGAAAGACCGAAGATAGCGTCATCTATGTCAAGAAATATGACAATATCTTCGAGCGCATGCATTCCAAACATGTCAACCACGATCACCTAACACCAACCCCTCCACAACCACTCCCCTGTGAAAGAGTTACGACCGCCGACTGGAGTAATGAACCAGACCCAAGGCATTTCATATCGAATCATCTCACCCTGAGTTCTTTTCTGCCACAGACTTCACAACCAAATTTCATAATTGCCATTCACTTGGGGCAACCGAGTGACTTTCAATTATCTGCTGCCCTTCCTGTGGGGCACTGGACATCAGCTTATAGAACGCAAAATAAATAAGTGGCTCGTGATAGCTCGCAAGACTAGGTGGCTGGAAAACGATTTCAATTGGCAATAGATGCTAGGCTGACAGGTGATTGTATATCGCTGCAATAGTGGCGCGTATTTGGATTGTTTCACTGTATAACTTCGGTTTACAACGATGTTATCCCTACATGATCATATGTATCCTATACTTTTTATCCGGCCGTAGATATATGTGGCAATCTCCTGAAGGGGGCTTGAGATGGCAATGCCTACGATAGTGATGGCGTGCATACAGGTCTGATGAGCTGACATGCTTTCATCGTCGCGATGAGGCTATAAGTGCATTGATAATCTGGTTATTGTACATATGGCTTTCAAAGTAATCAACCCCTATTCTAATTGTTTTCTTCTTTGGCTTCCTCAGCGATCTTCTCCACCTGTTCCTTTCGCTTCTTCAACACATTCTGAATTTCCTGGAAAGTCTCTTTGAGAACGTTCTCCGCATCACTCCCCCTCTTTTGCGCTATAGTTTGTAGTGAGTGCAACTGAGGAATGATGTCTGAACCTCCAGGAATTTTCTTTAGCCACTTATCCAGATCCACCGAGTTGTCCGAGCTGCGTTTCGCTCGAGTAACCTGCTCCTTAATGTACTTCTCCACATCCTCTACCTTCCCAGAAGAAGCGCTCTCTTTGACAAGTCCCCATAGATCTTTGGAACTGCCCTTTTTCAAGGTATCTGCATTCTCTTCAACCAACTTTTTGAGTTTGGGGCTTTTTTCGAGGTATTGCTGGGACTCCTCGAGACCTTTCTGCCATGCCTCATCTCCTAGTTTCTCAAGCTTTGTCTTCTTCTCCTGAATCAGATTCTTGATCTCTTCGGCGGAATCGACACTTGCGCCGCGCTGGACAATGCTGGAAATTTGTTGCCAGGTTCGATTCACTTCTTCCTTCGCTTTTGGCCCATAAGCGTCACCCATCTTCTTGAGATCTTCAAACCCACCGCCGACCTTCTCTTTGATTTCAGGATGATTGTCGAGAACATTCTCCGCGGCGTCGCCAGCAAGATCGAATAACTGCTTTGCATGTTTCTGTAGCACGCCCAAAGCCTTGGCCGCCGAGTCTGTGTTCAATCCCTCTTTTGTGAGGAGGGAATTCAACTCGTCATATGCATTTTTGACCACCTCATCAAATTCCTGTCCGTGATCCTTTCTGATCTTGTCAAGGTCGTCAAATGCGGTGTCGACGTAGCTACGCGCACCAGGAATGAAGACAGCATAGCTTTTTACTGTATCCCGCAGCCAACGGAATGCCTCATTTGGCTCAGGGGTCTTCTGAGCAACTTTTTGCTTGGCCTGCTCAATGTATGCTTGTGTTTGCTTGCTGGTATCCACGAGAGTCTTGGCTCCGGAGAAGTAGTACCAGGTGTATCCCGTAACAAAGGCGACAGCTCCACCAGCAAGGCCGCCAACCAAAGCAGGATTACCACCAGTCGATGCTGCATTGGATGCGGTGGATTGAAAGCGATGTTTGATGAAGCGAGATGGGGGTTGGAGTTGCTGTCTGGCAGATCGTGCCGCAGGGCCGGGAATTCTTCTGAGCATGTCGAGGTTATTGTAAATACACGGAGAGAGATATGGTGTATGATGGTGAACGATAGGTCAATTCAGAATGTAGAACTGAGGAGCTTGACTTTTTGAAACAGTAGAAGTATGGGCATTTATAGGCGGAGAGCACTGCTAGACAAACCCCAAACCAGTAATAGTAACTGGGATCGGCATTAATTTTGTCGGTACGATATGACGTTGCTCCCGAGTGATAGGCCAACCTTGCTACCTTGGTTCATGCGAACCTTGATCGGCTCCCATCAAAATCTGGGGGAGAGGACACCTAGTAAGATATTAGACGACGTCATACACAGGTTTTTAGGTCGTGCTTTTTGTGTAGAAAGCAACCTGCCAAACCCGACGATTCCACGTCTAGGTTGATGCTAAGCATGAGGAAAACACAGTCGAGTGACGTCATTTCGATTTAAAGCTTTTCTCTCCCTCCTAAGTACGCCCTGGACACTGGTTTGCCCTGTATTTGCTTCTAGAATGCGGAAAGGTGGGTCGGTCATCGTGCGACGGAGATGCGACGCCGTGTACATTCAGCAGGGGACCGATCCATATACTCCTTAGGCTACATGGTACTGACTACTGACTGTACTGAGATCATGTGACCATCACTCGAATTCTATGGCAAAGTGGGGTAAGCTGATCTGTATTGCAATCTGGATTAAATGTTCTGCGCTAAACTGGATGTAGACTAGTGGTGATGTTGTGGTATTCTCCTAGAAAGTTCCATAGCTAATCGTAATTACCGCGGCATACCAGGGCGGCCAGTTGGTCAAGGCGATGACGTGGTGCTAGTTGGTCGCAACAAGGGATAGACTCAATTATATGTGCCTATGTAGAACAGCAGACACAGCCCGAAGTTACCTCTGAGTGGCTGATCTTGTACCCGACCCTGCCATCCCAAAACAGCGCTCCGCTGTGATGTCAAGGCGGCTGGCTGCTCATTGGTGGATTCTTTACCATCTCAAATTCCATTCATCACCGAATACTCGACGCAGGATACACACAACATCTCAAAATTGGGTAAGAAAAGGCGCTGGCTTAGTTCATGTGTCGATATCCCCCCTAAAACTTTTTCAAATTAGGCACAGAAGCCCAGTGTGAGCAATTAGGTGCCTGAGTATGTACTCGATAGTGTGACTACTCTGGTTGTACAATTAATTACTGCGCCTGACCTATTATTGTTGGTGTGCTGTTCAATCAACACCGTTGGATGTTCTAACGGACAATTCCCTATTTATGATACTTGCAACTATTTTACGTATGACAGAGAACGGATTCTAGATCGGTATAAAAATAGAAAAAATAAGATATTTCAAAGTTAAGACCCTGATGGGCTTGCAAGGGCGACATTGCATATATCGGATCTCCGATAATATCACCAGTGATATCACAGCGGAAACCGCATCCCCACCAACTCCTCACTTAATCGGAACAACTTCTCGGCGATTTCCAGGCTAACGGCATGGGGTACTGCGGTAGCAAACTGGCAATCGCTGAGGTAAACGGCCGATGGATCAGAGACAACTATAATTCGTGAGTAATAATGTCACGCGACCACCCTTGCATGAATCGTACCTTTCAGCCCTGGATCGAAAGCCGCCACGAGCATAGTAGCCGCGCCTTGATCCGCTGTCTTCCAGAAATTGCTAGTTTTCGACATGGTCTCATTACCACTGTCGTCCAGACTTCGGCTCAGACCGGTCCAGATGGCTAAAAATATCTCAGTAACGTCGCATGATCTTCACCAGGGTCACTTAAAACTTACAGCCAGGGTGAACACTGTATGACACAATACCTGCGGACGCAAGATGCTGGGTTAGGTATACCGTGAACAGGATATTGGCAGTCTTGGACTGTCCATATGCCAACCATCCGTTGTATCCGCTCGCGGTGGGACTGAACATAGGTGGTAGCCCATCAGGAGGCCTCTCATCTAGAGGGACATCCTTACCCTCGAAGTTATAGTCATGGAACCGGATGGGCGACAATCGGTGACCGGCACTAGTAACATTGATTATCCGAGTCGACCCAGGCTCCGAGACTTTGGCCGCATTCTTCATTTGGGCCATGAGCAAGTTAGTGAACAGAAAATGGCCGATATGGTTTGTTCCGAACTGTATCTCGATCCCCTCTTCAGTCGTCTCGCGGTCTAGAACCATCATTCCAGCATTATTGATTAGGATATCAATGTGGTCAACCAGCCCTTGGATCTTGGATGCTGCAGCATGAATGGACTCTTGAGATGCAAGATTGAGTAACACAGTCTCCACAGCTGTTTCTGGAGCCAGTGCCTGCACTTTGTCGGCAACTTCCTGGACTTTGGTCTCTGTTCGAGAAGCCAGAAACAAGTTCGCTGGCTTTTGACTAGCTATCGACAGCGCAAGGGCTTCACCTAAGCTGTTCGGCCCAACGCCAGTGATAATCACTTATCGATGTTAACTCTTCTGAAGGTCGACCTGAAGATAGAGCAATGACTTACCATTTTTTCCTGGAATCTGACCGGCAAAAGCGCTAGCAACTTCCGTCGCTGTGGCTTTTTCATTGAATTCTGGATGGGATATCGCCATTTTCCTTCTGTCTTTTCGTATAACCTTTCCCTGTTTACCCGGCTGCTTCTTCCTATATCACCTTCTCCTCATTCGCATTGCCTCTTGGGGCAGCCCCGCAAACCTTCAATAGACACCATCAAGCCCCACACAGATATTTACCTCCAAGCCCACCTGATAGTGAGCATTGGCTTATGCTCGCTTAGAGAAAGAGCAATGCACTTTGATGAACGGCACTGCAAATGCGGGGTTACGGGATGTGACAGACTAGATCATTACTCTACCCCGGGGATTCTACGGCCCCGCAAGAGCATTCTCCACATGGCGTCCCTTTGAAGGTTCAATGCTGTTCATTGGTTTGAAAAACCGGAAAGATTGGCCGAGCCCTGATTTCCCAAAGAATGCAGCATGACCATCGGCAGTTGAAAGCGTTTGATGTAGCCGTTCGTCTCGGGGTTATTCCAGAGGTGGGGATGAACCCCGATGATAGTAATAAATGTAGAAATCAGCGCGCACGTACATTCAGTCAACTCTTTTTCTGTCCTAATTGCATATTTGAAAGTACAGATATACGTTCTTCCCAGAAGTAGAGAATATGACAACCTCCCAGACTCACAGCGGAAAGGCGGCTACGCCGACGGGAATCAAAGTGGTGATCGTTGGCGCAGGTAGGTATCAGTACAATATTGTCGGATAAATTTCCTAACAATTCCAGGATTCGGTGGATTGACGGCTGCAATCGAATGTTATCGCCAGGGACACAGCGTGGAGATATACGAATCATTTCCAGGTGAGCCTCTAACGTAGCTAAATTGCATGGAGAATGACAAATTTCATCTCCTCTTTCTTTAGAGCTCAAATCGCTCGGTGATATCATCTCCTTCGGTCCTAATGCAGGTCGAATCTTCCGTCGTTGGTCCGAAGGTGCCATCACGGAACGACTGAGGGCTTTGAGTATTAACTTGGAAAACCACGGCTTCAAGATTCACAAATGGACGGGCGAGCTTATGCACACACAGCCGCCTCATAAATACGATCCGGAGGCCCCGGTATTCAATGGTCATCGGGGTGAATTGCACACGGTTATTTTCAATTATGCAAAGGATGATTTAGGGATTCCCATTCATCTCGGTCACAAGGCTGTAGAGTATTTCGAGGATGAGACCCAAGCTGGCATCATTCTTGAGAATGGAAATAAGGTCAGCAGTTGCTGTTTGGCTAATGGGTATTTGAGACTAACCCTCCTTTAGGTTACTGCAGATCTCGTCATTGGGGCAGATGGTGTACGCTCTAAAGCGCGTGAGCTGGTCCTGGGCTATGTCGACAAGCCAAAGTCAAGTGGCTATGCAATCTTCCGGGCATGGTAAGTAGGATAATACAATCGATGTTTGACTGGAGGAAGACTTTCTGATCTGCAAAGGTTCTCAAACGAGGACATGATGCGCGATCCACGCACTAAACATTTTTGTGAAAATGGCGATACCTTTAATGGATGGATTGGGCCTGATGTGCATTTTCTCTTTTCCACCATCAAAAATGGACAAGATTGCTGTTGGGTTCTGACACACAAGGCAAGTGATATCCAGGAAAAAAATGGATCAATCTAACAAATTCAACCAGGATGAAGCCGATATTGCAGAATCTTGGTCACTCCCCGGTAAATTGGAAGATGTGTACAAGGTTATTGACGGCTGGGATCCGCTCGTCAAAGCGATTGTCGAGAAGTCACCCTCACTCGTCGATTGGAAACTTGTATACCGGGATCCGCTGCCTCGGTGGGTGAGTGATCAGGGACGTATTGCGTTGCTTGGGGATTCAGCACATCCTTTTCTACCTACTTCCGCACAGGGAGCGACGCAGGCGATGGAAGATGGGGTCGTACTCGCAGTGTGTTTGAAAGAAGGCGGGAAGGACAATGTGCCTGATGCTGTGCGAGCTTATCAAGATATCCGGTATGTATTCCTTGCTCTGAGACATACGACACGCTGCTCACCTTCATTAGGTACGAACGTGTGAAAGCCGTTCAGAAGACCGGAGAGACCACCCGTGATATGTGGCATAAGGCAGACTGGGATCAGGTCAAGAAAAATCCCTCATCCATTCAGCTTCCCCGTGAAGATTGGATTTTCCGATTCGATGCGGAGAGTAACGCGAGGGACTCGTTTGAGTCGGCATTGCAGAGGGTGCAGGAGGTGAACTAGGTAGTTTGGAAGAGAGCTTTGCGAAGTAATTCCAGTCACTACTCAGTTTTAATAAATGCTTTAAGATTGCCAATTCTACAACACTATGCAACGGATACATCTTCATGTTGTAACATTGCCGTTGAATCTATTATGAACGAGTAGAAATCATAATTCAAATAATAATTTCAATTAAATTAACAGTTCCTCCGACAATTTGACAATCTCAGACTACCTCAACTGTCCCGAGCCCCAGGAGCACTTCATTAGACTCTTTCAGGCATTCAATATCAAGCATTGTCTTCAACAGTCTCCACTGTAGCTTTCTCGGAGTCTCCGGAATCCCTCGCCTTATTTGCATCCTCGGTAGTACTGGCCGAGCTCTTGCGCCTTGCTTCGAGAGCTGCCGAACCAACACACTTATAGGATGCAAATTTCCGGGCTGGGACTCGTTGCTCAAACTGCTCAATAGTCAATATATGAGTTCCTGATTTTGAGACTATATCTAAAGGAACTTACCATCTCATCGATTTCTTCCAGAGTACGTCCCTTGACTTCTGGCAGGAAGAAGTAAATGAACGCTGCAGCGATAAGGCAAGACGGGAACCATATATAACCGTATTTTGGACTATAAGGCCAGCAATCTTAGCATTGTGGAAACCGCCCTGGGACAGGGGTAAGGGGGAATCTCGATGACCTACCCCCAGTTCAGCGATGCGACGTTAATGAAATAAGGAGCGGTGAATGTGGTAAGCCACTAAGAAGTTGTTAGTTAGACGCTTTCGTGTACGCATACAGAGATATACTGACTGCTCCGAGGAAACCAATGGCCGCCGCAAGCCCGAATGTATAGGATCGAAGACGCTGGGATGGCAGTTCTCCGCCCGATACCCAGGCATATGTAGACACCATTCCCTATATCCCGAATTAGTTCTGCTGATTATCTTGCAGCTTGACTCGCTTCCTTACATTGTAACCGAAGATGAAGATGACAGAAAGTCCTACAATCGCCTTGCCTGTGGCTGTCGTTCCTGGCTTGACCGTGTATACAATAGCAACGATGAGTTGGCTAATTCCACATAGTATAAGACCACTCGTCAGGAATAATCGTCGACGACCGATATGAGTGACAACGGCAATGTTGAGTAAAATAGCCACGACGCCCACTGCAGTAAGGATGCAGCTGTTCTCGAAGGCATCTCCGACACCAGCCATTTCGAAGAAATAGGTTCCATAAGCTGTAGTATGACAGTTGGCACAAATGATCCAGCAAAATTAAGCGAGTGGGGGTTTCACTCACCGATCATAAACATAGCTCCAGAAGCAGCTTGAGTGGTGACAGCACCGACAGCCAGAATAGTCCGACGACGATCAATGGGATTAGTGAACATATCCCAGACCGAGGTGCCACTCGCCAAGCTACGCTCCAGCTCAATAGCATGCTGAATATCTTCCATCTCTTTCTCCGCAGTCTCTTGGTCGGGCCTCAGCCAGGCTAAAGCCTTTCGAGCCTTTTCCACTTCGTCGTGCTGGAGAAGCCATCTTGGCGATTCTGGAATAAAAAGCATACCAGTGACCAAAACAGCGGGGACGATGAAAATTAGGCCAAGCGGGATGATATAGCTATCTTTATCGACAGACTTTGACGTGAAGTTATCGACGATAGTCCCGATGAGAGAGCCGAACGATGTCCAGAATTGGAACCAGCCTAGCATGAGACCTCGGTACCGTGCTGGTGAGCATTCCTAATTAGAAAGGAAAGTCAGCATTATGCGATTTTCTTTTTCTAATGTGGGGGGTATACCTGAATGTATAGCTGAGAAAAGGTCATAAGAAACCCATTCCCAACTCCAATGATAAAACGACCAGCGTAAAGACCTCCTATGGTGTCTGTGGTCATCATCACAATGTTCGAGACGTAAATCAGGACAACTGCAATGTGAAGACTAGTCTTTCGTCCGATGAAGCTTGCCATGGGCCCTTTTGAGTGTTAATTATCTCTATTTTTTGGTCATTAGAGATTGATTACCTGCAGAACATGATCCAATAAAGGCACCCAGTACCATCAGAGAAGAAATCAGTTGCTGGCGCTCGGAGGTAATATTCCAACCTGTGGAGCTAGCAGAATCTCTATACCCGAAGATCTTTTTGAAACCGAAACCATTAGCTTCTTCCATCTTAAGGTGCAACTAAGTAAGGATTTGGCTCTTACCTTCAAAAACCCAACCATAGCCTGGAAACCTCCAATCAAGGTATAATCGACCCCATACTGGAAGGGTGACATGGAGATCAGTGAGCATGCCGCTAGCGACTTCCAATGAAGTCGTAGCCCATTCTTTTGTTGATCACTCATGGTGACAGTATGCCTTGCCGGGTATTCAATTTGAAAATGGAAGATTTGACGTAGATACTATGCTCAAATCCGAGCGCGATAATCTAGCACGCACAGCTAACTATTGAGGAGGTAGGCGGGGGTTTAAGTGGAACTCGAATCCCAATTATGACCATTCACAATCTAGCATTATTCACTTATGGCCTCCCCATGCCCTCTGTGGGGCCATGCGGAGTCTCTCTTGGTGCCTACAAATTTGGATCAGTCTAAGTCTACAAGCGATGTGATTGACTTTTGGACCACCACGAGGGGAAGAGCCATGCACCGCCCGGACGGTGTCATTGGGCGCCGAGAAGGGGGTGGATACAAGCATATCGGCGATTTCTCTTCGCGCTCTGTTAGGGATACAAAGTAGTCTTGGTCGGGATCGAAATAACCCCGACCGCTACCGATATGCCTCGTTGCATGTAAGCCGGGCTTGCAAATACGGAGAAGCTTTCGTCATCTTGCCGCTGAGTCCCATGCCACGGCTGTTGCACGTCCCTGCTCCACGGGGTGACTAGAATCCTGGATCATCGTACGCCACTACTGGCGCATAGGACACCTGACATGGGACAGTCGGGCCAAGGAATTTAGCAGTCTCGTTGTGGGGAAGATCAACGATAGCGGAGTAGCAGAATGTGGAGAAGCGGGCCCGCTGAACGCTTTGGCTTTTTTGGGTTGGATAATTCAAGGGGGTGGAGGCCAACTCTGGTTTGAACGCACCAGTTCAGATTACTGGGCGTCGTTGGCCTGATCTTGGTGAAGCAGGGATGGATTACATGTATAATGAACGATTATGCATGATTGAAACCCAAGATTGGGCTCCTATCAAGTTAATCTCTGGAAGGCTGCAGATAATCAAATAACGAGCTTGCAGCATCGCAGCGGAAAAATATAATAAGTCTCATTGATTGGTGAGTGAAAGTCCTAGTACCAGCACTATAGACATAACATGGTATCGAGCAAAAAGAAAAATAAGCAATCGTGGATCCATTGTATCTCATCGTCGTCGTGATAATTCCCACCTTCAATCCCAATTCGATCTGCTATTGGGAAACAATTGAGTGCATGTGCATAGAGGACTGCAAAGTCTAGCGGATGACTTCACCGTCAATTAATCAAAAATCACCAGAAAGACGCCTAATGATCGTACGCCGAAACAAACCCCAACTCCAAAATGAGCAATGGTCGCCATGTAGGTTGTGTCCTCGCCGCTGAAGCTTCAAAGTCACAAGATATCAGCAGCTTCTAGAGACAGAAAGAATAGTATAGGTAGGTGTTTTGGGGGTTCTGGTCGTATCCTAGGTATTCGTCGGACCAATAGGAACTCCCAAATCACCAGTTGCCCACGGGTTCTGCATCACGCGGGCGTTGAGGGCATTGACGGTATAGCCATCATCCTCGGCAACGTCGCCGGGATTGCCATCTGGGCCATGCTGGGGAGGGCCGCCATGCCGCGTGACTGCGCCCGGGTTTGGAACACTGTGGTGTGTCATATAAGGGCTACCGGAAACATTGCCCTGGTTTGGGAAAAAGCTTTGATTCAGGGCTCCACATGTCGTGCAGGTAAATTCGATCTTGAAGTCCGAGATAACCATTTGAGGCATTCCAGGATGCTCATTGCGCGGCTGATAGTCTGAAGGTTTGAATTGTGAGGGGCCTGCTAATGGCAGAGCACCAGTAGTTGGATATCCGATTCCAGCCTGCGATACGGTCATAGGGCGTGGGTCATTACCGATCGCAGATTGGCCTGGGTTTCCGATTGGAGGTGGTATCTGAGGCACCCGTACAGACTGAGCTGGCGTTGGCGCCACAGAACTATTCGGGGGTTCATTAGCATTTACAGCGGTATCCTCCATCAACGTAGACTGAAGAGGGTCCGATATCCAGCGAGTCTCTGATATGTCCCGGTACGCTGGCCCTGCATCGCCCTGCGATTCAGTTTGGGACTGGGTGGGCGAGTGCTGGTCACCTGTGCTCATATCTAGACTCAAAGAATGGCCGTTCTGATTGGTACCATCTTGTGATTGCAGTCGGATCAATGCGCGCTGGGCTTGCCTCGTGGAGATGTCATACCCATGATAACGCTTCACAGCGTCCACGACATCCTGACTCCTAATTTTCGCTTTCATATCAAAGAGTCTCGGGATCTCGCTGAGTAAAAATCGTACGTGTGAGGCTTCGGAGCGTACTGGGGTCCGGGTCGGCGAATCCCAAGTCCTTCGGCAGCTATGACTGTCCTGCAGACTAGTGATGTACGTCGTGTTCTTGTTCGAGCGACACACCACACGGAAGTAGCAATTGGCCCCAGATCGACAGCCAATGACCACACTCTTCTTGTTGCTTCGTATCACACGAAGCTCCCAATGCTGTCGAACAGAGATGCTCCGGATCACCGATTTGAATTCCTCCAGGGAAGGAAATCGCTGATCCAAGTGGAGCCCCGAATACATTTCCGTCATATTGACCGGGGAAGGGGGCTCAGCCGGGGAGAAACGACCGAACAGATAAGACGTTGGTCGCGGATGTTTTGGTGGCAGCTTCCATCGGGTGTGCGTTGTCCACAGCCCTGAAGAGCACTTTATTTGTGAGCGCGGTGGTCAACGAGTCGCACCTTAAAAGTTTCTCTCGCTCAGCCTGGCATCATCCAAAAATGTTTGCATCGACTTGCGTCGAAAAAACCCTCGTGGAGCAAGCTCAAGAGTATGCGCAGGAGTAGCGGGACCCGGTGGAGAGGGAATGATTTCTCTGGGGAAAGCAGCCGCATTGAACCTTGGGACCGCCAGACCGCTCGGCTTCAATTCTTTCTTATTCACGCTCCACTTACCTAACGCCTCGGTTTTCTCCCCGTCGATCTCCCCTGTTTTTTTCAATCATAACTTAGTTAAAACTCGGAGTATTCCTTGTCTAATTGTCTCATCGGATCCCTCCCCAGATGGCTTCATACGGGCTGCTGGGTCAGCCAGAAGAAGGTCGAGTCTCAGTCACTCTAAATGCTTTTGTGCCTGTAACTAACATCCCCGCCTACAGATGCGCTTCACAAGTCGCGTCTTCTGAACGTCGAAGAAAAGCCATTCAAGCGCATCTCTAAACGCATTCTCAATCCCGAGTCACTTGTCGTCACCAACTCCTCTCTCCTCCCCACCCCTCCTCCCGAGGACGACATCGATGCGACCGCAGCCGCAGAATCCGAGAAGCAAAACCGCTTAGAAGAATGGCGCCACTTTCGCGAAGACGTTACGCTCGACTTTGCTGCCTTCGAGGGCAGCATCGCTCGCATTCAATTTCTGTTTACAAGTAACGAAGAGGAGCGCCAGCGGTACGCGACCGAGAAACTTCGCATCCTGTCAACGATGCATGCCGTTCGCGAAAATACCACCGATCTGCGTGCCCAACTTGAGGAAGCTCAGCGATTACTGGCCTTACGAAAGAGCTATGACGATCTGGCCGACAAAATCACCAGTAACCGCTTGCTGAAGCCGCGCGAGGACCAGCAGGCAAATCTACAGAAGCTGCAACTGGAGATTACGGAGCTGGAGAAGGAAAGCAAGGATTATGCGAAGACTTGGGCGGAGCGACGGGAACAATTCGGTCGCATTGTGGAAGAAGGCATGCAGTTGCGCCGCTTGATTCGCGATGAAAAAGAAGAAGTCGAGCGAAGAGAAGGCATGCAAGAGGGCGAGGATGGTGATGAAGGCGACGTCTCGTCTAAAGGCAAACTCAGCGCTGCCACCAGCCCTCGTCCGGATAATGAGAGTTTGACTCCATCGCAGAGCCAAGATGAAGGCAGATTGCGGGTTGAGAATGGGCCTGGGTCTGCCAGGCCTGCATCGCCTTTGCGGCAAGTCATAAGTGCCAATGGTACCAAGGATCAGGATGATACCAACATGGTGGACGAGGGTGAGATCACTGTTGAGGATGCTGGAGAACAATCGGATGAGCTCGAGGAAGGTGAAGAACTCCCGGACGAGAAGATGGATATGACTTGAGGTATTCCAACTATGTACATTACGAGCATGGAGTTGCGGGTCTTGAGGCGTTCTGCATTTCAAAGGTTTAGATTAAATGCATTTTGTGGATATGAGTCTACCAGGACATCACATGGGTATCTTCCTTTCCTTCTAGTGTTTGAATAAGATATCCATAGCTGCTATTAGCGTTGGGCTGCCTTGGCCTTGGAAATGGCCTCCTGGGCAGCGGTGATGTGCGCCGCATTGCTCTCGGTACCCTTTTGGCTCTCCTCAGCCTGTAATAGTGTCAGCACAACGATCAGATTTTGAGGGATAACATAATGAGCACTCACAATCAGAGCCTCCAACTCCTTCACAGAGTCAACGATCTTCTGGCGAAGAGAAGGCAGGACCTTTTTTGTCTCTTCCATGGCCATATTCTGACAAATGTTACCTCCATAGACCTAGAGAACTAGGATGATATTAGATCCAGTGAACACTTACCTCTTGTTTAGCGAGGAACTCCTTGTTCTCGTCATCACCCTCCTGGCTAGACTCGAGCTTCTTGATCCGCTCGATCTGCTGCTCCAGCTCACGGTGGTAAGAAGCCTCCTCCTTCACCAAACGGGTAACCGAAGAGGTAACAATTTCAAGCTGGGAACGGGGAGCCATTGTGATTCAATCTGTCAAGCGGTCAGATGCAAGACTTAAGTTTTGCAGTTTCTCATGTACGGGGTTATCATGTAGAAGTAAGGGACAAAGTTTGATGTCTGTAGATCCCCAGTGCATGATATCTGATGCCCCCCAGATCACCAGCATTGGAGATCATCTGCACGAACCACTGTACATGGGCATTTGATCTCATTTCAAAGTGCCAGATCGGATACAGGACCAAGCCAGTTTACTTCCAGACGATACATAGACGATACATACCTTCTTGTTTGTTTAATTGCGGAACAGTGGTGTTATTTAATGTAGCTACCAAGAATTCATGAGCCCCTCCTGTTGCTATCGAGAGTGGTTTGTTTGCAATGTTTGCATGAGGGGCTCACGTGCCATAGCGTTGAGATGAAATAAAATATCCAACCATCTACACTTTCAACTAAGCCTGCACTTGGATATTGGAGTATTGTATCAATTTTTTAAACCCTTATTTATAGTATATATTCATTCAATACACTGGTACATTATACTTTGTCACCTAATCACGTATCCCGGCCGATGATATCATCCGCCTCATGAATTCATCATTTACCTTTGCGCTCCGAAGGACTCTCTCTAAGAGCAGGGAATGAATTACCTCCCCATACATGATAAACCCCAAGACAAGCTTCACTTTGACTTCCCGTACTGAAAGCAGCTCTTTGTAGAATGTACATAGTAACATACTGTATATCCGTACATAGATCAGCTGCCTTACGATCCACCGCTAGCCAATAAGCGCACGAGTAGAGCTTGAAGGTCTCCGGGGCCGCTTCGACCAACATGACCGACCTCTTGACAACCCTACCCCCCGGATTTCACAATCCCAAGAGCGGATTCAAGTCTGATATATCTATAGGTCGTTTTTAACCTATTCTCTTCTTACAGAGGGTCCTTGATTTCTCCGAAGAACTTCTGGCCCGTTCAATGCTATCCCTTTGTCGCACCCTTATCTGTTCGAGTCCTCCGTCTTAGCCCGACATGCCAGCCCCATCACTACTGCAGTTGGCCATGGCCACTGCCGTCAAACACGTCAAGTGTAAGTTATATCACTTCGGACTAAAAGATCTCTTATTTCACTTTGTTGAAACAAAAAAGACTAATGACTTGCGATGAATAGCACTAAACGATATCGGAAACCTGCCTTATAACCTTGTTCGTCCCATTCTGCTGAAAGTGGATAACCCAGAGAAGCTGGTGAGTAAAAAGAGCCATACATCACGCTAAACATCCATGAACATCACGAATAAGAAAAATGAAGTTACTAATCAGTTCGCGATGTTCTCCTATAGCATGCGATGGAAGTACTATCCCCACACCTCATCGAAGAAGACAAAGAGCTGTGGCTCAATTTCATCAGACGTGACATACCACAATGGGAACAATACGAACTCCCGGAAAATACACATCAATGGTATGAGATATACTGCGATCTCCGCGAAGACGTTCAACGAGCCCTAGACGCCGACGCCGAAAAGATGAAGATGGCTCTAGACGGAATCAAGTCAGAACGTACACGATTGACGCCGAAAATCATCCGGGGGCACGAAAGTCGTAGATCGCGATTTCCGAGCAAATCATTCCGTCCGCGGACCTTCACGGGTATCCCAGGCATATCCGCCGACAAGAAGAAATCGGCTATATTCAGCGCACCACGGAGGAATAATGCTCTAGCTGTACCGACAAAGCATCTCAGCACGCGCGCGTCGCAGGTCAAGAAGGCCCCGATATCACTCATTGAAGAGCATCGGCAGCCAACGGAGCAACCAGTCAAACAACCGGTTCCTACTGTCAGACGCGACCAAGGCGCCCGGGTACCGGTTGCACCGGCGATGCCGAGACGACAGAGCTCATATACCCCGCCACGTCCTGTGCACGAAACAAGGAGACCTGCTCTAGCAGAGAGAGAGGCCCGGCTTCGTGCAATCGCTTCTGGCAACCCACTGCCTGCTAGCTCGGAGGGGACGAGGAAGGTTCCAACTCATACTCGGGATGCGGCGTCGACGCGGCCGACTAGCCTTAAACGAGAGGCCGTTTCTCCGCCGCCGGGTGCTCGCCTTTCTTCCCATTCTTCACTCCAACGACCGGGTCAGACCGATGGACCGGCAAGCCCTCCGGCTTCCGCACGCCCGGTCATGCCCGTTCGCAAGCGACCGGACAGTGTCTTCATACAACCAAAACGTCGACGAATTATATGATGGCTCTCTATCTCTCTTTCCGTTTTCTTTTTTTTTTTCTCTTCTTTTGATTGAGCGTTTCTTCTTGTCATTTATGGCACTTTTTTTGCGTGCGAGAATACTGCATTTGGGAGGAGTTCTGGGATCAAATGGCATCCAAGGTAGGGCTGATGGGCTGGTGCACATGGAGGTCTCTGGGTAATTTTCGATTGGAGTTTTACATATATCATTATACATATGAGCACATTCGAGTGATCTGGATGGTACTCGGTTGCTTACAATATTTTTTCTGCATTTGTTGCGAGGGCATGTAGGCGTTTCGTTTGGTCGCGTCAATAAACCAATGTATCACTGAACAGGGAATGAAACATTTGAGCATGTCGACCGAGACGTAAGTGAGAGCAACCATAACCCAGCGCTATCCCAGCTCATCGCTCACGAAGCGTTTGTGATGTCCCAATGCATCCACCCCGCAAAAATATTCAACACGTTAACTATAAGCCATATCTGGTATGCAAATGCTCAATGTCGGGGTGATTCTCAACTCGATCGTATTGCTGGAATGGAAATGTGGTATCTAAAAGGGCATAATGGATTACATCGCATCGCATCCTCCACGCAGGGCGAGCACGAGATGAAGTGTGGCGCCACCCTCGAGGTTATATTCCGAGGCCGTCTTGTCATCCGCCCTGCAAAATAACATGTTAGTACTCCGGTCCAGATAATCCAGTAGGTGTGCGTATAGGTCAAATACATACATCTGCTTGCCACCGAAAATGAGGCGCTGCTGGACTGGTGGGATACCCTCTTTCTCTTCGACGCGCTCCTTTATCCGGGAGACCTATGTTCATTGTATTTTAGCAAGTATATTTCGGCCAGTGTTGAATGTTATTCCAGCTCATGCGCAAGCTGCGAGGACGGTTCTCGGTAGGTGGTGTCAGGCGACGGTGGGATCTCACCTTGTAATCTGGCTCGATGTCCAGTTCGATCTCCTTTCCGGTGAGTGTTCGGACCCTAGAACACGATCAAATTTTAGTAAGGTGATTTTAATGGTTTTGCGGGAGCGGTAATTATTCGATGATGCAATTGGGGTTGGAGACACGGATTCGGACATACTTGATCAACATCCTGGCGGGAGGGTGGTTTTTCCGGGGGTTGAATGTGGTATGAAAGGGGCGAGGGGGTGTGCTTTTGTGGTGCAAGGACCCTGGGCGCGTTCTGTATTTCAAATGAGTGTCTGGAGAGAGAAGTGAGAGAGCCGCCTTAGCGGGGGGTTTGGGTGGGGTTTTGGCCTTATCGCCTGATTGTCAATGAGGCGAAACAGCAGGATACTTCCAACCAGCACTTCTTTCAACCAACAGACTTGTAGATTCTTTCTCCCCTACTACTGTGATTAAGGAATATGGCCTTTCTTTAATTTTGCATAAATTCTTGGGAATCACAGTTCAGCTATTCAGCCGCTAGGTGCCAAAGGTTTATCTTAAATAATCTACGGCTAGGTTTGACTTGGGTGAGTTTCTATGTAATGTGTTGAATAGAACTCGGGAAAGGGATTCTTCTGGGATTGAACAAAAGAACTCAGACCTGAGTACCAAATGTTCAATTCTGATGTACCTAGTGTGTGCGGCGCTCAGACCTTGGATGTATCTAATCGTATTTACTTCCCCAGTTCACTATATATATTGGTCCCAGTTGCCCCACCATCTGCATTGCCGCGGTTCATATTGATGTGATTTACACCAACTGGTGCTTACTGGAGCTTCTCAGCTGTAAATTGCGATCGAGTCTTCTAGTGATACCTAACCATCCACTATGGCAATCACAAAGCTCCAGCAATCTGCCCCCAATCAATTCCAACAACTGATTTCCGCGTGCGGGAACGATTCGGTACCCCCTGTTTGATCCGCTGGGATTATGTATAATTGCTAACGCAAAACCCAACTAGAAGCAAATCCAAGATACCTATGAGGAGCACAGGTCCAATCGCAATGCCAAGTTCAGGGAAAAGCTACTGAGTCCTGGCTTCCGCGAATGGCAGTTTGACGACATCCTGGGAAATATCCTGAAAGCAGAAAGGGGATTAATCCAATACGAAGACCCAAGAAACAACATGTCCTTATTGGCACGGCCACCGAAGCATATCTGCGAGCTGGTTTACGATATTCAGCAGGAAATCGCACCTATAGCTGGCCCGTGTATGTGTCACCCATACCTATTGTTGGAATGACTACATTCTGACTTGGTTTATAGGCCTTTGGCTTGCGCCTCAAGATTATCTCCATATAACCACATCCGAGTTGATCAATGCCAAGACTAGAACCGAAGTGGATGAGATGATGTCAATTTTCCAGCAGAAGCTTCCTCTTGAAGAAATTGTGAACTACACACTCACCAACAGTCCTAGGCTTGTTCGGCCAATTGTCAGTTACGATGCTACGGCTATTGCATTGAGCTTTGTCCCTGCCGCCGAGACAGACAAAGATACGTATACTTATCACCACCTGCGACGGGATATTTGGGACATTGTGTCCGAGTCTGGGTGTCAACTGGGGGCTAGATACATTGTTCCTTCGGCCCACGTGACTATTGCACGGTATGCCATGCCTCCAGGTGCAGATCAACAGAAGGAGCTGGATAATCTATGTATGAAAGTAGCTGGGTTAATCGAGAAAATTGAGGATATAAACCAGGAGTTGAGGTCCGGGGATTGGAAACGATTTGGAAGCCCTTCGAGGGGAGTGTGGGTGGTGGGACAGGAACAAGGATTGCAGTTAAACCATGGTCAATCTTGGTATGGAAACGGAGAAGTGGCATTGACCGGTAAGGGGCTCTAGTATTTTGCTTGTATTCTGGGCTAAAATATAGAAAAATAATGAAAATTAATTGAATCCAGAGTGTTCTCAGACGAAAGTGATAAACGAGGGCCCAGATGACTTCCTAATCGGGAACGGCAAATGGATGACTCATCTACTTGGTGGTGTACCCAACGTGGTTTAGCGCGTACCCGAATAGGGCCTAAGCGAAACGAAATCCCACAACCCAACCATCCGGCTTGATCTCTCCGACAAGTGAACACTCAACGACCACCCACCTCGCTACCCGGCAAGACAGTCAAAATGGTAAGATTTATACCGTCCATTATTCGAGCTGCTGTGCCCTCAAGTCCCCGTTCGAAATCCGCTGCGAAGTTCAATCCGGCATTGTGCGATGGAGGTTGAATTTGTGTGGGCGACTCGAGATTGTGAATGACGACCAACCCGACCGACACCAACACCAAAATAACCCCCGCCCACGTCGATATCCATGTCTTCAGTTATGCGATATTTGATATGCCAAACGACAAACTCGAAAGCACAATACTGGACTTTGGTGGCAAGGATCAGGCTCTGCATCTTGGAGGCACGACCGAGTGAACGGATGAGGAGAAGATACAGAGCCACCGTTCCTGGGACCAATGCTTCCGTGAGCTATCTTGGACGCACATCCGATCGAACCTGAGCCTGGCACCAAACCCATCGGCATGCGCAATTGAACAACCTTGGACTCGGACTTGAGAAGCACGCAGCTTGGATTACTCATTTTTACCAAGCACAGCAGAAGCTTATCAAAATTTCTCCGCGCACAGGTCAACATTCCCAAAACCCGCCGGACCTACTGCAAGGGCCGGGAGTGCCACAAGCACACCCAGCACAAGGTTACCCAGTACAAGGCTGGCAAGGTGAGATTCCACTTCGACTCGACAACCGGCTACGAAACCCAAACTGATTTCGAAATTTTCTCAATAAATATAGGCCTCGCTGTTCGCCCAGGGTAAGCGTCGTTACGACCGAAAGCAGAGTGGTTACGGTGGTCAGACCAAGCCTGTCTTCCACAAGAAGGCTAAGACCACCAAGAAGGTTGTCCTCCGTCTTGAGTGCACCGCTTGCAAGGCCAAGAAGCAGCTTGCCCTGAAGCGCTGCAAGCACTTCGAGTTGGGGTATGTTTTAATCCTGGATCACTTGGCTTTAATCAGTGCTAACCGATTTCCCTATACAGTGGTGACAAGAAGACCAAGGGTGCCGCCCTTGTTTTCTAAGCGTTCGATTTCCTTGTTCGGCTTCTGGGTTTCCTGCATTGCACAATCCGCCTCGCTGTTGCTGCGGAGGATATATGACATGGGCAATGGAAAAATGAAATAGGAATTCATACCTTCAAAAAACAAACTATGACTACCTGACGACGAGCCTCTGTTTCTGGACGTAGATTCACCGAGTACTAGACCCAGGTCACACTCACTACATCAGCCTAGTCATAAGTGGATACTTATATTTGACATTTTGTCGAAGCTGATAGATCACGCATCTCAGGCTGTAGAAATAGCTGCCTGGTCAACAGCGCCGTCACCAGGGTCTTTACCTCTCATGGTCATGGATAATGTGCCTTTCAGCCTCCGAAACTGAGCACTGTCTGACCAGTGCTTCCAAGGCTCCAAAGCGTTGCTGCCAAACACGCGCAGGAAGCTTCTATCTTCTATATTCGTAAAACAAAATATATTGGAACTGACATTTTCTCAAGCGCTATTATGTTGACTTCAGGTCCAACATCCAAGGTTTGAGTGGATCAATCCGTATGAATTCAAGGTCCGGTGACAGTCCCTGACGCGAAATGCCAAAATGACTTTGGAGCCGACCTTCCTTGGAACTGAATTTTCGTTTTTCTCATTCTTGCGTGTTTCACCTGTGGAATCAAAATAATACTTGAACTTAATGGCCTGGAAGGTTGCTAGGTCGAAATTATCAGCTTGTCTTGTCCCTATTCTATATAAATAGACAGCCCTTGGGCAAGTTCACCAAGTAGGCATTGCCAAGGGTAAATAAACACTCCAGGATCGGAGCAACTCCTTAAAGGCAAAACCTTAGACCAAAAGCAAGCTAAATCATGTCCTTGGCTGCACATATACCATTCCACTCTCTGAGCTAATTGACAGAGGGAGAATGGAAGGCCCTGATGACGGCCTCCACCCCCGCATCCCCCACGCCGAGAGAAAAGGCAGCCCTCCCAATAAACGTCCCCTCTCACCAAAGAGACCTAGTGGCACGATTTCAATCTCATTCAGCGAACAATCTTATTGGACCACCTACCCAGTGGCTGCACGGAACCCCCGTATTCAGCATTCTTACCCCCGCATTCGCGAGAAGATCATTGCCATCTCGGCCGTCCTCCGAGTGCAATGGCTGAGCCGTGTTATCTTTCGACCGTGTGACAGTCCCTCGGCCATCGGACGAAAGCCGTAGGATATTCCTCTGTATTTCCTGCGTGGTGCAAGATAAAAACTGTTTTTATTCCTTGCCTTTGCTTGTCCGGCCTTGGGTATATACCACTATCTGCTCTTTTTGCCCTATTCTTGATTTTCCTGTACAGTACAGGCTTGATCATCATGGCGCTGTGGTACTCGCTAGGAATTGCGTTTTTTGCCGCTATAGGCACGTTTTTGTTTGTATGTTCTGGCAGTTAGCTTGTGGGTTGTTGAATTTGGTCGTGGTGGTTGCTGATTGCTGAATCTAGGGGTTCGACACTGGAATCGCGACAACAAGTGAGTCTGAGATACGATATGCTGGATATATCCCATAATCTAATCAATTGGCTATACACAGCCATCGCACATGAAAGCTGGATTGATTATATGAACCATCCGTCGGAAGGATTAACAGGAGCAGTACGTCGGGTCGGGTGTGTTGATGTACCTCCGAATCAAATTGCTAATGAACAATAGGTGGTTGCAGTCTATATTGCCGGTGAGGCATTAGGCGCGCTCACACAGACCTTCATTGGCGATAAACTCGGGCGCATTCGGTTTATGCAGTTGATGTGTGTGATTGTGACCATTGGTACTATCATCCAGACTGCTTCCGTGAACATCGGCATGTTTCTTGCCGGCCGCGTGCTAGCCGGATACGCTGTTGGGTGAGTCAAGCTTTTCATTAGTCCGATGCAATGAACTGAGAAGAATAATTCTGACATTCACTAGAGGATTGGTCGCTACAGTCCCGATCTATCTTAGTGAGATCTCTGATCCCCGTTTCCGTGGCCTGATCGGCGGTATTTCGGGTTGTGGTATCTCCTTTGGAACAATGGCGTCCAATTGGGTCGGATTTGCTTGTGGATATGCGCCTTATGGTGCTGTGCAATGGCGGTTACCTCTGGGCATCCAGATTCCATGGGGCGTGATCATGTTCATTGGTCTGTCGACTTTCATGCCTAACTCGCCGCGTCAGTTGATCCGAGTTGGAAAGATCGAGTTAGCCCTTAGCGAGTTTACTCGGATCCGGCGTGGGGCTGCTTCTCTTGAAGTGGAGGAGGAGTTTTCACTTATGAAGGCACAGATTGAGTATGAGATGGAGCGAGAAATTACCTCTTACCGGGAGATCTTCCGACTGTTCCGATCTCGAGTATTGGTGTAAGTTGTGATGGTGGACATGCCTAGGATTATGCTGACCGCTCTTCAGATCTATTGCCGTGCAGACAATGACGAGTTTGACTGGTGTCAATGTAATTCAGGTATGTGCATAACTATGAGATCCAATCACAGAGAAGGGTGCTGACTGTAACAGTATTACCAAAGTGAGCTCTGATCCAGAGGCGCAGGTCATATGCTTGGAAAGATACTAACTGCCGGTTGCTAGCTATTTTGTACAAGTCACTCGGCATTGGGTCGCACACTATCTTGGCCCTTGCTGCGGTCTACGGTACCGTTGCTTTCTTGTCCAATGCCATCACGACTAAATATATGACGGACCAGTGGGGCCGCCGCAAGTACGTGACCCGTTGGGCACAGCCTATCTGCATCTGATTTGATTAACGCTGACCCTGCATAGAATGTTAATCACTGGTCTGGCCGGCATCGTGCTGATTGAGATCTATGCCGCCGTGATGCAAATGGAGTTCCAAAATACCGACAACAAAGTCGGCAAGGGGTTCGCAATTTTGGGCATTTATCTATTCGTGGTTTGCTACTGTGAGTTGTTTGCCCCTGCGGGTGAGAGATAGAGTACTTATGCACCGTCCTACCCCCAGATGGTTTCCTTAACAGCACAACATGGCTGTACGGTGCTGAGGTCCTCCCTATCGCTCTGCGTAGCAAGGTGATGGGCATCGCAGCTGCCTCTCACTTCATTGTGAATGTTGCCAGTAAGTTGGAAAGTGCATTTGAAAATGGGTTCGACTGCTGACATCACTTCTTAGTCACCGAGGCTGGTCCCAGTGCATTCGCCAATATCAAGCAGAACTACTACTATGTCTTTGTGGCATGCACCCTTTTCTTCCTAGGCGTGGCATACTTCTTTTTCCCGTATGTGGCCCTCGGATATTTTCCACCCTAAATGGTCATAGCTAACATTGAACGCCCCAGTGAGACAAAGCAGAAGACGCTGGAGGAGGTTGCAGCAGCCTTCGGAGACAGGGTGATTCAAGCAGACGACGGCCCAAAGGGAGCTTCGGTAGTTGGCGGAGCGGACCACGTCGAGTCTGCTGCACAGCAGGCCTAATTTATCCTAGTTAGGCGACCACATGCACCTATATGACGTGGGAGGGGACAGCAATGAAGAATAATTTTAAAGTAATAGCATCCGTTCATCCGGGGGCTGAACGCACCTTCCGCAAGAAGAAGGTACCCCTACCATGTGGCTTTCGACAGTCTGGTATTTTAGCGTGTCCTAGCTTTGTTTTGATCTCTAAATCATCCTTAGTGGACAAGCGGACAAGAGCCGCGTGTGTCAGAAGGAAGCGAGGAATGGGGCGTCAGCCACATTGACTCCACATGCCACCAGACTATGCTTCAATGGATTGTCTCAAAACC